TTTTTGAGATAGAGCCTCACTCTGTCACCCAGGCTGGAGTGCAGTGGCTTGATCCAGAGCTGGGGTGAGCGAGTGAGCAGTGTCTCCTTTTATAAGATGCTGTAAAGGAAGATGCTATCGGGGCTACAGGGAGAATGAGATGAACATTTCATATCCTCCCATTATAAGGGGAATTACGTCACTTGAAATCCACATGCTCAAGTCCTAATCCACAGCACCTTCTGCATGTTGATATTTGGAGAGAGGGTCTTTACGGAGGTAATCGAGGTTAAATGAGGTCATAGAAGTGGGCCCTAATCCAGTGGGATGGCAGCCCTTTTTTTTTTTTGAGATGGAGTCTTCGCTCTGTTGCACAGGCTAGAGTGCAGTGGTGCGATCTCGGCTCACTGCAACCCCCACCTCCTGGGTTCAAGCAATTCCCTGACTCAGCCTACCCATGAGCTGGGGCTACAGGTGCACGCCACAACGCCTGGCTAATTTTTATAGTTTTAGTAGAGACGGGGTTTCATCATCTTGGCCAGGTTGGTCTTGAACTCCTGACCTCGTGATCCACCCGCCTCGGCCTCCCAAAGTGCTGGAATTACAGGCGTGAGCCACCGCACCCAGCCACCCCTCTAAGAAGAGGAGGTCAGCCTGGGCAGGCTGCTCATGCCTCTAATCCCAGCACTTTGGGAGACTGAGGTGGGTGGGTCCCTTAAGCCCAGGAGTTTGAGACCAGCCTCAGAAATACGGTGAAACCCTGTCTCTACTGAAAATACAAAAATTAGATGGGCATATTGGTGGGCACCCGTGGTCCCAGCGACTCGGGAGGCTGAGGTGTGAGGATCACCTGTGCCTGGGAGATCAAGGCTGCAGTGAGCTGAGATGGCACCACTGTACTCCTGGGTGACAGTGAGACCTTGTCTCAAAAAAAAAATACTAAAGATAAAAGAGGCAGGGAGGACACAGACACACAGGGGGAGACCACATGAAGACACGGGGAGAAGCCGGCATCTAGAAGCAAAGGTGAGAGGCCTGAGGACATGACTCTCTGACATCTGCAAGACTCACCTGTGGCACTTGATTACACAAGGCCAGTGAACCAATGCACACCCTCATTTTAAGGTTTCCGAAGAGGCATTCCGTCCCTAAAAGGGCCTCTGAAGGGGAAAGCTCGGGCCCACGCTGTCTCCAGCAGCACAATTAGAACCACCATCCCCAGACCCAGCCCCTCAACCACAGTGAGAAATTCAGAAACGGCCCCAGCAAACAGCTCCTTCCAAGGACTGTGGCAGCTGGGCTGTCCTGGGTCTTGGATGTTTGTGCAAAAGCTACATTAAAACAACAAGGAGTGGCCAAGAAGTGACAGGAATGTGGGTGGAGAACACTCGTGTCACATCTAAGCTTCTGTCACTTTAAAGTTTTTCAAACTGCAAAACCCTTTTATTAAAAAGGCCTCTCTTCCAAGGAGAGCCCAGCCCAGGAGATGCCCGGTGAGCCATCAAGCGCAGGTCCTCAGGGAGCAGGCGTTTCTGCAGAGCTGATGCCGCAGCTTCTGAGGGCCTGTGATCACTCATTGCACCAGCAGGCAGAATGCAGGGTGCTCTCAATCAGCAGGGGACAGGGGTTCGGGCTCTTTTTTTTTCATCTTTTGGCCAGGGCAGACAACAACGGACTCAGCATCCCACGCAACTGAGGTGACTCGAGGCCTCAAACGCAAGCGCCGGTGTTTAGAATCCTGCATTTTCAAAGGCTCTCGCCCATTGGGAATTACATGGAAAGGGGATTGAGAACAACGGCCAAGAGAGGCAGGGGGTGGGGTGGAGTGGGGGGGTGGGGGGGTGGAGTAAGGGTAGAGGGGGGTAAGGGTGCGGTGGGGATGACAGTCACACAGCTGGGACCAGAAGCCCAAGGCGTCTGCCTCCCTGGAAAGGCACAGGGCACAGACAGACGCTGCTTTTCCTGCCGGAGCACTCCTGCCACCGTCCGCAGCTCCCCCGTCACTCCACATTCTTGTACTTGGTGAACAGGTTGTAAAGAACCCTCAGTGTGGATTTCAGGTCCAAGTTCACCACGTCTGCAGAAGGAAACAGAGAAACTTCAGGGGCCATGCCCTCTCCGTCCTTGCGGTAGGTACTCTCAGAAGCCACGTCTCCAGCATGACACCAGCTGCTGCATCCCCAGAGTGCTTCCCCTTAAAGACTGACCGCCACCCTGTCCAGGACACTCTGGGCAGTGCCTCTGCAGGCACACAGGTTGTGTGAGAGCTCCTGGTGCAGGCTGACACCCTGCAGGGACAAGCACCTGGGACACAAGGACAGAGACACTCCCACAGCCCCTCCTGGATCTGCATCCGGACGTGTCTAAGGACTGGTTGGGGGATGTAGCTAATGAGACTTACTGGGGCCAAAAACCCCAGTAACACTTGATGGACCCGACAGCTCCCTCTGGGGCCCTGGAAGTCTTGGGTCACTTTCTTTATTTGCAAGAGAACCTTCTTGGGAACCAGGTACCTTGTTCATTTCACTTGCTCTGTGACCTCTAAGTGACTTCCCCGTCTCTACTAAAAATACAAAAATTAGCCAGGCATGGTGGCGGGTGCCTGTAATCCCAGCTACTTGGAAGGCTGAAGCAGGAGAATCACTTGAACCCAGGAGGTGGAGATTGCAGTGAGCTGGGATTGCGCCACGGCACTCCAGCCCGGGTGACAGAGCAAGACTTCAGTGGGGGCGGGGCAGGGGGACAAAGAACCAGCGTTCCCTTAGCAGCTCAGCGGCCAAGGGCCACCAGAGGCTCTTCTGAGGGTATGGGGGGGCACCCCATGCTGCCAGTGGGGCTCAGTCTCTTCATCAGTAAAATGGGCCCGGACCAGATGACACTCAAGGCCCTTTGAGCCCTGACTCCTGTGATCCAAAGGTAACCACTGGTGACCCCGTGCTTTAGCCTGACCACAAGAGCAAGAAATGGCATCTGTCACTGAGAGAGCAGGTGGGGTGGCTGCTAAGAATCAGCAGCTGTCCTTGTCACTGAGGTGGAGTTTCTCAACTCGCGCAACCTCGTCAGAGCCCGTACGGCCTCCTTTCCTTCCCTCTCACTCCACAAAGAAGACCAAGACTCACCGTGGGGGAAGGACCTGCCTGCGAGTGTGCTGTCAGAGCAGGATCAGAGCTGAACTCGGCTCGGCGGGCTGAGGACACACCTGGGGCCCGTTGAGGATCCCGGGGTCTCCCCCTGGCCTGATGGGTCCACCCCAGCTCCCGACAGCCCAGAGCAGGCAGGGGAGGGAGGATGGTGCCATGGAGCTGGAGGCGGACAAGGCGAGGGGAACAGCGGGGACAGAGGAGATCCCAGAGGTGGGGGCCATCGCCTGCTGACCCCCACTGAGTCCACTCCCATGGGGGATTCACAGGGAGACCAGAGCAGCAGCCTGGCACTGATGCCCCCAGGTCTGAGCTCTGAAAACTTCCAGACAGCCTCACTGGACAAACAGAACTCAGCCCTTGCACCCCTGCCAGACCCTGCTAACCACAGCCACCACTCAGCACCTGTGCCCAGGAGATAGGAATCCCATTCTGTGACCCGTGAACTCCAGTCCCTCTGTGCTCCCCAAAGGCCCACCTCACCAACCAGCTCTGGCACTCAGCCCTGTGAAATTCTAGCGAGCGACAAGGCTCTCTCTCAGGCAAGGGGCCTCCTTAAGGGCAGGGTCGGGGACCCCACTGGAGTCTCTTCCAGCTCCCCCCAAGGGGGCAGGGGGCTGGGATGCTCATCAGAGCTAGGGGCCTGGGGACCAGGTGCAGGCCTGGCTGTTCAGACGCACCATGTGCAGGGAGCGTGAGACTGCTCTGCTTCCTCCGGGTGGGCACCGACAGGGCAGTCTCAGGCCCGTGGGGGAGGCCGCAGCCACTGCCTCCCTCCCCACCAGCTCTGAGTACCCAGGTAAGGCTGCCTAGCTCGGAGGAGGGTGTCAGGGAGGCCACAGCCACCGTGCCCCATTCTCCGTGTCATTCTCATCTCTGGTACGTCCCGATTCTTGCTCCCCAGCTGGTTTTGAATGAAGAAGGAAAAATCTCTCATTCCTTGCATCAGCCACAAAGTAAAGAGGCCCAGCAGGGATCCCATCTCATAAATCTCCGCGGCTTGGTCCCTGGCCAGGGCTGGCCCAGCGAAGGTGCTAATGAGCACTGCAGACCCAGTCTGTCCCCTGCCGGGCTGGACAAAGGCCCTGGGACACCGAGGGACCCTGCCTGGGAGGCTATCTGCCCTGGGCCAGCGCCTCTGCCTCTGGCCTGGTTTCCACATGTCCGTGGTGCCTTTCCTGACATGCCATCCAGCCACGCTCTCAGAGGCAGATGAGTACAAAGCACATCCCGGCTCAGGGCACACCCCCTCCTCGGAGGCCAGCCTGTCAGAGGATGTCCTGGCCTCTGGACATGCTCCTGCGTCACTCCTCAAAAACGGGACAAAGGGCGGGGTGCAGTGGCTCACACCTGTAATCCTAACACTTTGGGAGGCTGAGGCGGGTGGATCACCTGAGGTCAGGAGTTTGAGACCAGCCTGGCCAATGTGGTGAAACCCCATCTCTACTAAAAATACAAAAACTAGCCAGGCATGGTGGCAGGTGCCTGTAATTGCAGCTGCTGGGGAGGCTGAAGCAGGAGAATTGCCTGAACCCGGGAGGCAGAGGCTGCAGTGAGATGGGATAGAGCCACTGCACTCCAGCCTGGGTGACAGAGCAAGACTCTGTCTCAGGAAAAAAGAAGAAGGGTGGGGGGTTGTGGGAGCAAAGAAACAGAGTTCCCTCAGCAGCTCAGAGGCCAAGGGCCACCAGGGGCTCTTCTGAGGGTATGGGGGAGAGCACCCCAGGCTACAGTTGGGGCCCAGGCTTTGGGTTATGGGAGACTAAAGGAAGCCCCAGCCAAGCCCTCAGCAGACATGAGCAAGGATTTCTCCTCCCTGACGGTGTGTGACCCAACCATACACTAACGCTAACCATCAATATATATAATCTCATCATAGATGATCTCATATGTATGATCTCATCATATATAATCTCATCATGTGTATAATCGCATCATATATGATCTCACCATCTATAATTTCAGCATTTATAATCCCATCATACACAATCTCATCGTATATATAATCTCATCATTTATAATCTCATGAAATATAGCCCCATCATACGTGACCTCATCATATATTCAATCTCATCATACATAGTCCCACCATATAATCTCACCATATATAATCTCACCATATATAATTGTATCGTATATAATCTCGTCATATGTGATCTCATCATCTACACTCTCATCATATATAATCTCTTATGTATGATCTCATCCTATATAATCCAATCATATATAATCTCTTCATATATGATCTCATCATAATCCCATCATACACTTAATCTCATCATATATTTAATCATATATGGTCTCATCATTTATAATCTCATCATATATGATCTCGTCATAATTCCATCATACATTTAATCTCAACATATCTTTACTCTCATCATATATATCTCATCATATAATCTCAAATATAATCTCATCATATATGATCTCATCATTTATAATCTCATCATATAATCTCATCATATAATAATATCACCATATATAATTCCATATATAATCTCATTGTATATAAATGCATTATATACTCATCATATATATGACCTCATCATATATGGTCTCATATATAATCTCATTATATAATCTCATCATATAGTCTCATCATATATAATCTCATCACATGTGATCTCACCATCTATAATTCATATATGATCTCATATATATGATCTCATCATTTATGATCTCATCATATATCTCATCATATATAATCTCTTCAAATATAATCTCATCAAATATCTCATATATTTAATCTCATCATATATTTAATTCTGTGAGCAGGACCCTCTTCCAGTGCTCATAGAAGCAGCTCCCTTGAGCTTAATAGGTGCTGAGGGGCTGGCAGGCTCAGCAGAACGTGGGTGGCACTGCCCGTCAGCCCTGCTGGAAAGTTACAGGGCAGAGCTGAACACTGAAGGCTCTGACAAGTCCTGTGTGAAGCACCTGCTCCCCCAGCGACCCCATGAGGTGTGTGGACACAGGTGCCATGGTCACTCCCCTGCACAGATGAGGAGGCCCTGGCACAGAAAGGCAAAGTAACCTGTCCAAGGACACACAGCTGGGAAAGGCAGAGCAGCATCCCTTGGGCCCCCAGCCACTCCCTCATGCCCCTGCCTCACAGCAACAAAAGGGCTGCAGGGCAGCAGCCACGAGGAGTCCCAGAGACCCAGGCCACGCCGGCCCCGACGGGCAGCAGCTCGCCACATGCCTGCTGGACGCATGCTTCGACCCGGTGCTGTCGAGCAGTTTCCAGGCCAGGCACTATTCTCAGCAAGCAGTGGACAAAACCCTGCTGCCTTGGGGCTTCCACTCTAGTGCAGAGGGCGGGACAATGAAGAATCAGCAGGCCAGGTGCAGTGGCTCACACCCTTAAACCCAGCACTTCGGGAAGCCAAGGCGGGCAGATCATGAGGTCAGGAGATCGAGAGCATCCTGGGCAACATGGTGAAACCCCGTCTCTACTAAAAATACAAAAATTAGCTGGATGTGGTGGTGTGTGCCTGTAATCCCAGCTACTCGGGAGGCTGAGGCAGGAGAATTGCTTGAACCTGGGAGTCGGAGGTTGCAGTGAGCCAAGATCATGCCATTGTGCTCCAACCTGGAGACAGAGCGAGACTCCATCTCAAAAAAGAAAACAAAAAAAATCAACAAGGCCAGGCATGGGGACTCGTGCCTGTGATGGGAGGCAGCAAATCGCTGGAGCCCAGAAGTCTGAGACCAGTCTGGGCAACATAGTGAGACCTCACCTCTACAAAAAAAAAAAGAAGTTAAAAAATCAGCCGGGCATGGTGGTGTGCACCTTAGTCCCGGCGGCTTGGGAGGCTGAGGTGGGAGGATGGTGTGAACCCAAGAGGCAGAGGCTGCAGTGAGCTGTGATCACACCACTGCACTCCAGCCTGGGCGACAAAGTGAGACCCTGTCTCAAAGCAAAAAAGAATAAACAGCCACGCACGCAATGAGAGGGGAGGGTGTGGAATCGTCCCGTGAAACCCTGAGAGGAGGGCACACGGGCAGGAGGGGACCGGCCAGGGCTTCCCCGTGGACTGGCAGGAGACGGCAACTGCGGCGGGTGGATGGAAGGGACGGGATCCGTTTTCTCGCTATGTCAGAGACTCTACACAGCCCGCCACTGAGTGGATGCTGGCAACAGACGTAAGCGTCACGGACCCCTGACTCATGTATTACCATGGGGGACTCAGGAGAGGGAGCAGGGCTGGGTAGGGAGCCATGGTCAAGGCGGGGGCCCACAGGCATAAACCACAGTGTCTGAGTTCTGTGGGCTCCTCCTACATGGCAAAGGTTTTGATGGCGGCAAAGAGATGGCGTCACACAGGACTTATCAGAGCCTTTAATGTTCAACTCTATCCTGTAACTTTTCAGCAGGGCTCACGGGCACTTCCACCCACGTTCTACTGAGCCTGGCCGTCCCCAAGCACTTATGAAGAACCCTTCCTAGGAATTCTGATGCTCGTTCGGGTTAGAGTCCTCGTACAGGCAAATCAGCACAGGAGCCAGGTGGGGACAGTGAAGTGACCGCCCGCCCCGGCTCTGCTGGTCTCTTACCCCCAGCTCAGACCCACAAAGAGCAGGAGTGTGCCAAGTCCCTGCTCCCAAGCACTGCGTTCGGCTGAGCACCAGGAGACCTCCACCCCAAGCGTCATTAAATTTGAGTAAGCCTTTAATACCTTCTCAGGCCACAAAGCTGCATTTCCAGCCCAAGTGGCCAGCTAGAGACGTACTTCATCCTGAGGTCTGTGGGCAGAGGCCACGTCCTTCAAAGTGGTTATTAAAGAACTGGCACTGCCAGCTCCACCAGCAAAGTCCTCCTGGTCCCCAGAATGAGGAGACGGAGGAGCTGGGGTTGGCAAACCCTCGCCCCAGAGCCAGAGATGCGGGGCCCATCTGGCGAACAACACGCCAGCCTTCCGGCCACTGCTGGGACCCGGTTTTCCTCCCCTCCACACCCAGCCCTCCCACGGGAACCTGAGCCAGGGACATTACCTTCAGGGCGAGCCTTGGGTTTCTTGAGGCCTCCGTCCAGCATCAGCTCAAAGGCGAAGGACACATTATGGACCTGCCAAGGAAGGGGGCGGGTCAGCGGTGGGGTCCAGCAACCGTCCCCAGCCCAGGCCCATCCAATGCCCACAGCTTGAGGACAGCCAGTGTAGACAGGACAGAACCTCTGGAACACTGAGGTCCACTGAGGACCCACCGAGCCCAGGGCAGGCCACAGCATGGGCAGGGATGGGGGAGGACGTCTGCAGAGGGCCACGTGCACTTCCTGGGTGGTTCTCGCTCCCCACACTGGTGGCCTACGCGGAGAGATGGAAGGGTGAGGTGCCTGGCCAGCTTTCAAGGGCTCACAGCCAACAAGAGCCTGCTCTGCCCCAGACGCCAGCCATGTGATGAGAAGTCACAGAGATCCCATTTTACTTATTCATTTACTTTCTTCCTTCCTTTTTTGAGACAGGATCTGTCACCCAGGCTAGAGTACAGTGGCAAGATCTCGGCTCACTGCAGCCTCCGCCTCCCAGGCTCCAGCCATCTTCCTGCCTCACCTTTCCAGTAGCTGGGACTCCAAGCATGCATCACCGTGTCTGGCTAATTTTTGTATTATTATTATTATTTAGAGATGGGTTTTGCCACGTTGGTCAGGCTAGTCTCTAATTCTTGGGCTCAAGTGATCTACCTGCCTCAGCCTCCCAAAGTGCTGGGATTATAGGTATCAGCCACTGTGCCTGGCCCACAATGACCCCATTTTACAGAGAAGGAAACCAAGGCCCAGAGGGGATGAGTCCCGAGCAGAAGCTTGCAGGCCTGGGCACTGCCCTAGGAAGGGCTAGAAAGAGCTGCACGTGCCCAGGCCTGGTGTCTCATGCCTGTAATCCCAGCACTTTGGGAAGCTGAGGTGGGCAGATCACCCGGTCAGGAGTTCGAGACCATCCTGGTCAACATGATGAAACCTCATCTCTACTAAAAATACAAAAATTAGCCAGGCATGGTGGCGGGCACTTGTAGTCCTATCTACTAGGGAGGCTGAGGCAGGAAAATCGTTTGAACCTGGGAGGCGGAGGTTGCAATGAGCTGAAATGGCACCACTGCACTCCAGACTGGTGACAGAGGGAGACTCCATGTGCCCCCCTCCCCCAAAAAACAGAGCTGCTAGTAAGGCTGTGCCTTTGCAGGATAGGGTGCCCTTGGGGCAGGGAGGGACCCAGCACTTAGCAGGCACAGTGGGCTGGTCAGAACTGAAGTCAGACCCATAGTGGCTGCAAGCGTCAGCCTGCAGTGTGCCGGTCCTGTTAGATGCTGAAGAAAGGTGGCCACCTCCCCACTTACCATGACTTCTCCTGATATAAAAGGGTCTATGACTATTCAGCGCCCAGTGTACTGGAAGCTTTCATTCTGCTAGTGATGGCTGAACAGATTTAAAATAAGAGCCTTCTGGGCTGTGTTTAAAGACCACTGGAGAGGGATACAGGTGATGAACCAGATTACATCCAGCCACCCACCTGCCACGAGCCAAGGCTGATGGGAGGAGGGGACATCAAGCAAAAACACAGATGTCATACTGCAAGGGACTTCAGAGTTCTTAGCAATCAAACGTCACGTCCAGGTGCGGTGGCTCACACCTGTAATCCCAGCACTTTGGGAGCTGAGGCAGGTGGATCGCTTGAGGTCAGGCATTTGAGACTGGCCTGGCCAATGTGGTGAAACCTTGTCTCTGCTATAATTTAAAAAATTAGCTGGGCTTGGTGGTGCAGAGCTGTAATCCCAGCTACTTGAGGGCTGAGGCATGAGAATTGCTTGAACCCGGGAGGCAAGGTTGCAGTGAGCTGAGATCGTGCCACTGCACTTCAGCCTGGGCGACTGAGCAACAGTCTGTCTCAAAACAAAAAAACAAAGCAAAAAATCCTTTCGACAATCATATTTTCATGATTCTGAGGTCAATGAATCAGAAGCATGAACAATTTGATTTGCAATGTAATTGAGTAATTAACCAGGAAAAAGAGGCTTCCCTGGATTAATCAAATGCACAACACTGGAAAACAGCGTGGGGTGCTTTGGAAAAGCTTCCACAGTGCACACGGGCTGTGCTCGGAGAAGCAAGGGGGTGAATGGTGTGCCAGCACCAACCGCGAGAGGGCCTGGCCAGACATGGGGTCAGTGGGGAAGACACCGCCTGGAAGGAGGGCGGGCCATGTCCACCCTGGAGGCGGGGAGGGTGAGCAAACCGAGACCCTGCTCCAGAGGCCAACTCAGAAACTACCAATGAGAACACCAGGCAACAGGGCAGATACCCAACCCTGCAGGACAGCCTGCCTGGATATGGGGGTGGGCTGCAGCAGGGCTAGGTCTGAGGGTGGCCAAACACTGGAAATGGGGAAGGAGCAAAATAGCCTGTGTGGAGGGTGCAGAGAGCAGTTCCCCTAAGGAGAGAGCAGGGAGCACCCGCCACGGGGCAGGTGCATTTGGCACAGGCTCCCTTTCCCCTCCCGACCCTGTGCGAGGTTGGGTGCCATCTTCCTTCCCAGAGGAGGGTGCTGGGACATCAGTGCCCTAAAAAGGCACAGGGCTCAAAGGGGTGGAACCAGGACTGAAACACGTTTAAGTCTGATCTGGAATCTGTGCCCATTCTCCTCCAAGAGCCTCCTGCCTCGGCTCCCCTAGCAACACAGGCCCCTTTAGCTGACCACCGTCCACGTCATCAAATTAGCTCTCACACACGTGTGCACACGCACACATGCACACTCACGCACACACAACAGGCTTGACCCCAAATGGAGATGGAGACAGGAGAGCAAAGAGGGGGAACGGCAAGAAAAGATGCTGTTAGATGCTGCAGAAAGCGGGCCACCTCCCCACCTACCATGACTTCCCCTGGAATAAAGGCCTCTATTACTACTCAGTATTTTTCTTTTAAGGAAAGATTCTTCCCCGGTGTGAAAGTTAGCACCAATTTGGACCGGTCTGTTTTCGTGCCTCTCCCGTACGCCTCTGAAGCCTGAGGAAGCCTCTTTCACGCAGAGAAGGGGGGATGCTCAGGAGGAGCTGGGGATGAGATGCGTGACACATGGAGACGCTCAGAGACGGCTGGAGAGTGTGATCAGGCAACGAGGTGGTCCCCCCTGCCCCAGGAGAGAACAGCTCAAGGGGAGAGCAAAGCCCCTTCCAAGCCCCTTCCAGCCCTCACTGCTCTGCAGACGCTCGGCCCCACAGTGATTGGTTTGGAAGTGGGATTTTCCTCCTGCTTTCTTCACAGGCTGAGGGAATGTCGGGCAGGAAACTGCCACTGTCCCATGCCTGTCCTCTCTCAGGTCCCTGCCTCTGCCCTCAGCCACCTTCCATGCCCCGCAGGACAGGATCACGGCAGATTCCCAGCACGCAGCTCCTGGTGAGGATTGGGGACCACCCACCCCAACCCTGACTGCAGTGGGAGTCCCCAAGGCCCAGCGAAGATCAGGCCATACACGGCCCTGCTTCTAGCCAGCCACATGGGCAGAAATCCTTTCTCTCCACAATTCAAAAGGTTTCAGTCAACCTGGCCGGGTGAAGAAAGAATAGAAGGTTCTGGAACAGGAGTGGACCCTCCTGGCTCTGCCATTGCTGGCTGTGCAACCCTGGGCTGGCCTCGAAGCCCTCCTGAGATTCCCTGTCCTCATCCAGTAATGCTGAGGGGATCAGCGGAGGGGAAGCAACTCATGTTTTCTTCTAGGAAATATCTCCAAGTCTCCAGGGTACACCCCACTCCACAGAGACGGGGGGCCTGCAGAGTCTCCCAAAATGATGACCAAGGGGTGCAAGGCACTCAGCACATGGCCAGTGTAGGGTAAAGCTCCAGGGTGGCTTTGCAACAGAAAGCCAGGGACGCCAGTCATGGTGGCTCATGCCCGTAATCCCAGCACTTTGGGAAGCCGAGGTGGGTGGATCACCTGAGGTCAGGATTTCGAGGCCATCCTAGCCAACATGGAGAAACCCTGTCTCTACTAAAAATACAAATTAGCCGGGTAAGGTGGCACATGCCTGTAATCCCAGCTACTTGGGAGGCTGAGGCAGGAGAATCACTTGAACCTGGGAGGCAGAGGCTGTGGTAAGCAAAGATTGCACCATTGCACTCCAGACTGGGCAACAAGAGTGAAACTCCTTCTTAAAAAAAAAAAAAAGCCAGGCCACACTCACACCTCTGAGGTAGCTCACAGGGCAGAAGCCTACAGGCTGTGAGCTGTCCAGCGTGATTTTTTCTTTTTTAATCCAATGCAATTGTTTCAAACCATAAGCCATGACTACCCTCAGGACAGCAGCTCATGATGCATCTCTGGTTTTACTCACTGAACCTCAGTCTCTCCTCCAAAAATGTGGAGCAGCTGTAAGGATTCCCAGGGCCAGAGCAAATGCATCTCAGGGTCTCAGCCCATAAGAGACAGGAGCAGGGGACGTCACCAACATCCTGTCTGCAAGCAGTTTTGAGCACATGGGTGCTGGGCCCAGCCTGAAGTGGGCAAGTCCTCCGCAGCAGGGGACCACCCACCTGTCCAGGGGTCGTGAGGGCTACAAGATAGATAATAAATCCCATGGGCCCAGGGAGACTTGACAGCAGCTGCCATTATGACCATCATACCACGAGGAGAAAGGGGGAAAATGCAGGGGCCGGGGGAGGAACTCCTCCCAGCCCCCCATCCTCCCATCTTCCCATCCTCCGAAGCTGCTGACATCCTCCCGTCTCCAGCCACCCGCAGAGTCATGCCACCACCCCAGGCTCCCGTTCTCCTGAGTGAATAGGATGAACGGTGTGCTGCGTGCTATACCTGAAAATAGCCTTCCCTTCCTCGCTGCGATTCAGAGGGGAAAGCAGATGACTCAAGCCTCCCCAAGCCTCGCAGGCCAGGGCAGCCATTGTCAAAGACTTTCATCCAAGTTTCAAAGGTAAGAAGGCCAGGGCCCAGGAGATGACGCCTCTGACATTTGTACAAAGCCTTGTCTTGGAAAGAACCCAGCTCTAAGTCTCCTGGCTACACTCACTGTTCTCGCCAGCATCCTTATTAGTTTGAACAAAGAAAAGAACTCTCCAAAACAATGTTTCTGCAACCAGCCGTGTCAGGGCCCGGAGACGCACGGGCGTCTTCACTGCATTGTCTGCCCATTCACTCCCAGGGTGGCAGCACAGGCACCGCGTTTCCTGGTGAGTTCTGCACAATTTTGCTCATTCCCTCTGCACTCCCTCTTGTACTCACTCTCTCTCTCTCTCTTTCTCTCTCGATTCAACGTGGACTCCATGTGCCAAGACCTCTCTAATCTGTCCTGATTCCATCTCAGCAGGCGAGACAGGAACAACATTTGGCCACAAGCAAATAGACTGCGACGTGCCAGCAGTGGGCAGATTGATAAACACTGGTCCCATTTCTGCTATTTCTCTGGCTGCCACCACCAGCTTACATCGTCTGCCTCCCTGACTCATGGGTCTAACACTTGGGGAAAATAAAATGACAGATGCCCGTGAATCCAAAGCAACATAGATCATCCATGGCCAAGTTTTTAAAGGCAATGCACTAAATACTGCCACGAGCGGCTTCACTGCAGAAGCCCTGGCAGAGGGCAGACAGCAGGGAGGAACCCACGCGCAGGGTGGCCACAGCGGGACCGGGAGCGTGGGCCAGCCCGATTGAAAGGAATGACCCAGATGACCCTATTTGAGAAATGTTCCCAAGAAAACAACCCACAGGGATGAAACAACAAACTCCATGTCAAAAAGATGTTCTGTTGTTTCAGTAGGAAAAAAAAAAAAATAGAAACACTTTCAAGTTGATGGCCAAGAATGGGGAACGGGGAGACACTGGTAACGGAGCCATGCTTGGGACTTTGTGCCGCCACTGGACATGGCATTTGGGAAGCTTGGGAAGCAGCAGGGAAAACCACAGGCGCTGGATCTGCAGCAGAACAGGGGAAGGGTTTACAACTCTACTGAGATGTGACCGCAATTATTAAAAACTACACGGTCCCGGCTGGGCGCAGTGGCTCACGCATGTAATCCCAGCGCTTTGGGAGGCCGAGGCAGGAGGATGACAAGGTCAGGGGTTTGATACCAGCCTGGCCAATATGTCGAAAACCCATCTCTACTAAAAATACAAAAATTAGCCAGACGTGGTGGCAGGCGCCTGTAGTCCCAGCTACTCAGGAGGCTGAGGTAGGAGAATCACTTGAACCGGGAGGCAGAGGTTGCGGTGAGCTGAGATCACGCCACTGCACTCCAGCCTGGGCAACAAGAGCGAGACTCCATCTCAAAAAACAAAGCAAAAAAACTACACAGTCCCGTGGAAAAGATCCCAAAGAAAATGTGGCAAACAAAACTCGGATGCGCTGTGCACTGCTGATGGGCCTCTCATTTCTTCTGCCGAGAGTTCCATCTAATCGCAGTATCACTTGTGCGATTTTTACTTTTTGAAGAATGCAGCCAGGCCGCAGAAAGAGCTGCCAGAATGTTCTATGCCCTGCATTTCAATGAGCGTTTCTTGAGCCACTACCAAGGACGGAGACCACGCACATACCTTCTGATCGAAGCTTTCCGGAGTCAGGTAGAAGTTGTGGAGAGGAACAAAGTAGTCTTCCAGAAGGCCCATGAGCAGAACCAGGTATACGCCATCTGCAAACTGCAGAGAAAGACTTGTGATGTTTCCGGGCGGGGTATGAGGTTGGCAAATACTTTGCATAAACTCAAGGGGGGCATATTTTTTCCTTCTAAGACAGAGTCTCCCTCTGTCACCCAGGCTGGAGTGCACTGATGCAATCAAGCCTCACTGCCGCCTCGACCCCCCGGGCTCAGGTGGTCCTCCCACATCAGCCTCCCAAGCAGCTGGGACTATAGGTGCACACCACCAAGTCGGGCTAAATTTTTGTTTTTGTTTTTGTTTTTGAAGACAGAGTTTTGCTCTTGTCGCCCAGGCCGGAGTACCATCTCCACTCACGGCAACCTCCACCTCCTGGGTTCAAGTGATTCTCCTGCATCAGCCTTTGTATTTTTTGTAGAGACAGGGTTTTGCCATATTGCCCAGGCAGGTCTTAAATTCCTGGGCTCAAGTGATCTGCTTGCCTCAGCCTCCCAAAGTGCTAGGATTACAAGTGAGAGCCACTGCACCTAGTCGGAAATATTTTAAAGTAAAGTAATCCAACCCTCCTCTCACTTCAGGCAGGAGAATCTGGTATCAAGTGAAGGCATGATCGTGAAATCCTTTGAGACCCGGCGCCTAATCTAAGAAAGGCAAAAGGGCAGAGGGCTGTAATTACCTGGGCACTGCAAACACTAAATATGATGAGCGTTTGGAGCTGAGTGCAGCTGCCTGGTTAGGACTGTGCCTTTGGAAATGTCCCCTGCTGCTGATCCCAGGGATAGCACTGACTCCCATCGCTCAGGGCTACCGTAAAGACACAGCAAGAGGGCGGGCAGGGAGCCCCCGGCACACGTGAGTGCTCCCTCAGCATCGGCTGCTGGAATCATTCATTCAGACCTTCAGGGCGCAGAGCTGGGACCAGGCGGCCCTCACCACTCTGTCTTGCAGCAGAGACCACAGTGAGTGCAGCCCCAGCCTCCATGGCTCTAGAGCTGCTGTCCAACACGGTAGCCAATGGCCACGTGCGGCTATTTAAATGAAAAATGTTTGTCTTTGAATGTTGCTGACTTTCTTTTTTGTTGTGATGAAATTCGCCATCTTAACCATTTGTAAATTGTGGGAAGTAGAAAAGTTCCTCTTCAAATTTTCTTTCCTGTTAAAGAATAAATGTGCTAATAACTTTGTGAAGCCCTATCCTCTGTAGCTGTTAGACACGCCATGCTTACAGGCACATAGCACAATCTGTGTCCTTGTACTTTAACCAACATATCTGTGCTGGACGTGCTCACAGGCATGTCCCAGCTCTCCACTGCTTTTACCTGTTTACAAAAGTTTTAAGTTGTTAGCCAATCGGGTTTCAGTTTAGACTGTGAGGTCTGGCTCCAGCCAACGGAGATCAGACCCAGCAGTGAGGAGGACCCCAAATGCGTAAGGGATAAACATGTCTGCTTTCATCTGTTCATTGTACCCTCGTGGTAAGGTGGCTAGCGAGGGTGCCCTTCCTGCAGTGGAGGAAGTCAAAATTGCTTGCTGAGAGATCCTTTGTCTCAGTGCTGATTTTTCTTCGCGGCACCGAGCATCTGTTTCCAACATAAGTGCGCAGGTCAAAGTACATCCTCATTGTTGGGAATGCACTTACTTACACACACACATCTCCAGAACTTCATGTTCCCAAAGTGAGACTCTGTCCCCAGTTCTCTCTTGTACTCTCCCCCCAACCCCTGAGAACCACCAATCATTCTAGTCTCTGTGGTTATGAATCTGACTCCTCTGGGTAGCTCATGTAAGTGGAATCACATAGCCATCTGTCTTTTTGTATCTTGCCTATGCTGACTTTTCTCTTTAGTTAAATTGTGGTAAAAACATACCATAAAACATACCATCCCGTTTCCCATCTTAACTACTTTTAAGTGTCCCATTCGGTCACGTTAGGTACATTCACATTGTTGTACAAACAATCTCCAGGGTCCTTAAATCTGAATGTTTTAAAAAATTCATTAAAATTAAAAATTGCATTTCTCAGCAGCATGATCACGTTTCGGGTGCTCAGTAGCCACGTGTGGCCAGTGGCTGCCGTGCTGGCCGGCACAGCTACAGGACACTTCCATCATGAAACAGAGGTCTGTTCATCGGTGCTGGTCTGGAAGATTCTCAGGGAGAACAACTGGAGAGATGAGAGGGGCTGGGGTGCCTGGGAGACCTCCAGCTTCCTGAGACTGGCAACAATAGTAATGGATAAAACTAGAACTCAAAGATGGGAGGGTGTTTTATTGAAAACAGCAGCAGCAGCTGTCCCCTCCCAGGTAGACCTCCAAGGCCCCTATCCCAATAGTACTTTAAGATGAAAAGTCAAGGCCAGGTACAGTGGCTCACACCTGTCATCCCAGCATTTTGGGAGGCCGAGGCGGGTGGATCATTTGAGGTCAGGAGTTCAAGGCCAGCCTGGTCAACACGGCAAAACTCCATCTCTACTAAAAATACAAAAAGAAAAGTTAGCTGGGCATGGTGGCTCCATGCCTGTAATCCCAGCTACTCAGGAGGCTGAGGCAGGAGAATTGCTGGAACCCAGGAAGCAGAGGTTGCAATAAGCCGAGATTGTGCCACTGCAGAGCCTGGGCAACAGAGCGAGACTCCATCTCAAAAACAAAACAAAACAAAACCAAACAAACAAACAAATATACATATATATATATATATATGAAAAGTCAAAATCACAAACATCCAATATCAGAAGTCCTGACCTTTAGAAGAGGCAGGCACAGCTAGAGCATAAAGCACAAAGCAATGCCAGTGGGCAACAGTCCCTCAAGGGACCCAGGATAGGGTCTGAGCCCTGAATTCAACCCGCTGTCAATTGACGGGCAAATGGCACTTGGTCTGCACGTCGCTCGCCTTCGGCCTTCCACACCACAAAACAGCCAGCCACTCCTCTCATTAAGGAGATCAGACAGGTTTGAAGAACTTTTTTTTTTTTTTTTGAGGAGTCTCGCTCTGTCGCCCAGGCTGGAGTGCACTGCTGCGATCTCGGCTCACGGCAACCTCCGACTCCAGGGTTCATGCGATTCTCCTGCCTCAGCCTCCTGAGTAGCTGGGACTATAGGTGCCCACCACCAACCTGGCTAATTTTTTTTGTATTTTTAGTAGTAACGGGGTTTCACCGTGTTGGCCAGGATGGGTTCAATCTCCTGACCTGCAGCTGCCTGCCTTGGCCTCCCAAAGTGCTGGGATTACAGGCGTGAGCCACCGTGCCCGGCTGAAGAACTCTTTTAAGTCTGCCTCCACAGGCAAGCTTCATGCCCACAGCACCTTGGTCAAGCGTGTAGGCATTTTCCTACCAGAATAACACCGAGCTGGCTTGTGCACAGAGGCCAGCACCCATGTCTCTGTGGACTAACTTCCAGGTAACCGAAGCCGCCGCGTGAATGAAGGCGCCAACCCACACCTCTGCCAGGAGGTCCGGGGAGGCCACATTGCTGCGGCTGCAGGCCCTGAGCTTCCTTCCACTGTGTCTCGTCCCTGTCCCCGCACACGGGGTCACAGGAAGGCAGGAGGGACCGCCACACAGAGAGGGCAAGGCCCGGGGGCCCAGCTGCGAGCAGGTGACCCTCCCCTCTCACAAGCACCCAGGGTGGTGTTCTCACTCAGCAACCTGCTGTGCAGCTCTGCGGGGAGCAGGGTCCCAGAGGCCCCGAGGCCCCGCAGCTGCCTCCTCATCAGCAGAGCTAACCCCTGCCGAGCCCTGCCCGCAACGGTCTCAGCCGCTGTCCCATCCTCACACTGCCCATCGTCAGCAGCTCAATCTTGTGGACAGAAGCGCAGGGAGGCCAAGGGGCTCACTCTCTGTCACACACAGGCAGAGGACACCACTCACCATCACACAGCGGGCACACTGTCTACAACGTCAGGATGGTTTGGAAATGAGGGAAAACTCACGCATACACCACACACATACCACAGACTACAAAAACCACACACACACAGACTACAAAAATCACAGGCACACACCACACAGACTACATAAACCACACACACACAGACTACATAACCCCCACACACACATACCACACAGACTACACAAACCACACACACACCACACAGACTACACAAACCACACACACCACACAGACTACACAAACCACACACATACCACACAGGCTACACAAATCACAGACACACCACACAGGCTACACAAACCACACACACACCACACAGGCTACACAAACCACACACATACCACAGAGACTAGACAAACCACACACACACCAGACAGACTAGACAAACCACACACACACCACACAGACTACACAAACCACACACATACCACACAGGCTACACAAACCACACACACACCACACAGACTACATAAACCACACACACACCACACAGGCTACATAAACTACACACACACACCACACATCACACAGACTACATAAACCACACACACACACACACACACACACACACACAAACACACACACACACACACAGAGAAATGGAAGAAATTAAACCAGGCCCTCTCCGACTCCCAGGGCATCAAGACATTAATGATTTATAGTCTTTGTAAATGATATATGATATTTATACAAACACCCAAATTCCTTTGCAACAACAACAACAAAAAAATCCCTGGCTTTCTGTGGCCAGTGACCTCTTCTGGTGGGCCAGTGATTAAACATACATTTAAGACTCTAGATAGTGTGATAATAGGAAAAAGAAATGTCAATATTGAGTAAATAGAAATAAATGCAAATTTAATTTCAGAGTCTCAATCTAAGAGGCTCAGCTGCTCATAGCAATGTGCAGGCCCCTCTGAGAAGGGATGTGGGGACAGCTGGGATGGATGTGGAAGAGCACTGCCCGTCACCACCCCGTGACGGTACCAGGGGTCCCCACACAGCAAACCTTCCCGGGCCTTCAGAGAGTGCAGTGCGGGCTTCGCTCTAACGACTCCACTTCTAGGTGTTTATCCTGGGGAAGCAGACCGGGGCACAGACAGCGTGAACGAAGATGCTCTCTGCACTGCTGTTTACAGGAGCAGAAAACATCCAGCTGTGAGGCGCTGCTTTAATGAAGTGCAGTGCAGACTTCCAGCTGACGAGATACACTTCGCATTAAAAGTAACAAAATACAGGCGAGGTGGCTCACACCTGTAATCCCAGCACTTTGGAAGGCCAAGGCGGGTGGATCACAAGGTCAGGAGTTTGAGACCAGAGTGGCCAACATAGTGAAACCCCGTCTCTACTAAAAATACCACAATTCGCCGGGTGTGGTGGCAGATGCCTATAGTCCCAGCTACTCGGGAGGCTGAGGCAGGAGAATCGTTCGAACCAGGGAGGCGGAGGTTGCAATGAGCTGAGATGGTGCCACTGCATTCCAGCCTGGGTGACAGAATGAGACTCCGTCTCAAAAAAAAAAAAAAAAAAAAGTGACAAAAAATAGATAGATGGACAGACCAAGCAAGGGAAAAAGAATCAGACAGAAACACACATACTTTCTCTTACACCAAAAGATGTCCACAGTGTAGCTAGTGACATAAAACACATTACAAAGCAGTGGACAGCAAGATCCACCGTCATTTAGGAAAATACAGTTATGCACAAAAACTATCTAGAAAAATACACATCCAACCACGAACTGTAGTTAGTTACCCCAGAGGGTCTGAAGGCGGAGGTCTGCAGGAAAGGATAGAGGACGATTTTTACTTTTCACCTCCCCTGCTTCTGGGGTGCAAAGGTCTCAAACAGAAAACAATCCGAGGCTGAATGCGCAACATTTGTAAACTGCGGAAAACAATAAATGGTTGGCAAACAATACGCAAATAAATACACACATTAAAAACGCACCGTGATGCTGTCACGGACAGACCCACACTGCCCGTGACTCGCTGTCCACGTAGAGAACAGGTCTGAACAAAACCCTCTGCACAGTCATCCCCGGGTGATGGGATTACGGATGGTTTTTATTTGTTTTGCTTATCTGCATTTTCAGACATTTCTACAATGAACCTGAATTACTTTTTTAATTAGAAAAGCAAATGAGAAAAGTTAAAGAAGGAGAAGGGAATGGATTCGGCTGCCCTGGGGTTTAAGAAGGATCAGCTGTGCATTAGGGATGTCTGTACCAGGTGCTCAAAAGCCTCCGCATCCAAGTACCCCGCTAATCCTGGGAAAATTGTATTTTGTCATTAATGCTTGCTGAGTGCTCAAAAACATATTTTCACGATGCTCCTTTAGCTCTGAGCGGGGGTTGGGGCTGGAGGAGTAAACTTGATATACTCATTGCAGAAGGAATATGTTACACATACTGACCAGGAGGACATTTGCCAGGTCCCAGCCACAGGGTGACAGCGGCGCTCAACAGAGGCTGAAGGGGCCAGTGTGTTCTTTTACTTTTTCTTTTTTTGAAAGTGAGTCTCGCTTTTGCTGCCCAGGCTGGAGTGCAATGGTGTGATCTCGGCTCACCACAACCTCCGCCTCCCGAGTTCAAGCGATTCTCCTGCCTCAGCCTCCAGAGTAGCTGGGACTACAGGCACGCACCACCACACCTGGCTAATTTTGTATTTTTAGTAGAGGCGAGGTTTCTCCATGTTGGTCAGGCTGGTCTTGAACTCCTGACCCTAGGTGATTCACCCACCTTGGCCTCCTAAGGGCCAGCACGTTCTAGATGGAGGAATTGCAGGTGCCAAGGCCCTGTGGTGGGCTTGGGTGGAGCCCTGGAGAGTGTTAGAGGTTGAATATCACCCTCAGGTGTTTTGGGGTTTTGCATCTCCCAGAAAAAGACACAGTGGAACCCTAATCACCAAAACCTGTGAATGTGGCATATTGCAAACGGGTTCACACAGATGCAGTCAGGTAAAGATGAAGTCATGGGCGGGCTCCCATCCAGCATGACCAAGTCCTGGTTAAATGGGAAAATCTGGACACAGAGACGCGCACACAAGGACAACACCGATGCGTGTACAAGCCGAGGAAGCCGACGATCCCAGCAAAACCCCAGAAGCTGGGAGAGAGGCCAGGAAGAGATCCTCCCGCACGGCCTCGGAGGGAACCCACCCAGACCACACCTTGAGTTTGGATTCCGAGGCTCCAGCACCCCAGGACACAGAGGTCTGTTGTTTCAGCCACTTGGCTCGTGGTGCTTTGTGGCAACAGCCCCAGGAAAGGAAGACAGAGGGGCTGAGAAGGCCGCGGTGGTTATTTCTGCCCGCGCCACGGGAATTCCTTGCAAGATGAGCAAAATGGCCCCAGCTGTGTTCACCGCCCCACCTGGGATGAAAACACCGACTGAACACAGCGGCGGGCAAAACCGCGTATACCTGGGTCTCCAGTTCCGTCACCTCCAGGTTCAGCTTGTTCAGGTGCTTGTTCACAAAAGTGATGAGAGACTGCCAAGAACAAAAGAGACACAGAAGCCATGAGTGGCCGCGTGCAGGCCCCATCTGGAGGGGCAGGCTTGACATTTGCCAGCCCTGGCGCCGTGAAACGCTTTCATCATCTCCCGTTTGCTGAAATAAAGAGCCCGTGTTTCAAACGCAACATCCCGACAATAGCCCCAAGTTTTCATGGCACTGTGCCCGCGTCTATCCTGGCTATGCGTGTCCCTGTTCACCAACCCATGCGCACATATGCCTATCCGCACACGCGTGCCGTATTTAACAATCACACTGAAGAACACTCGATGCCCTTAAGAAAGATACAAAACTGCCAGGGGAGGATCGCTACATTTGCAAATGTATCTTAGATGTGACCTGGAACCATGAACGGCACACTCAGAATGACTGACAGGGAGGCACTGCCTTGGGCCACGCCTATTGAGGTTTTTTTCATTTTTTTTTTTTTGAGATGGGGTTTTGCTCTGCCGCCCAGGCTGGAGTGCAATGGTGCAATCTCAGCTCACTGCAACCTCCGCCTCCCAGGTTCAAGGGATTCTCCTGCTTCAACCTACATAGTACCTGGGATTACAGGCATGCACCACCATGCCCAACTAATTTTGTATTTTTAGTAGAGACGGGGTTTCTCCATGTTGGTCAGGCTGGTTTCTAACTCCCGACCTCAGGTGATCCACCTATTTGGGCCTCCCAAATTGCTGGGATTATAGGCGTGAGTCACCATGCCCGGCCCGCCTGTGGATTTTCAGTGCATGGGGAGATCCACTCAGGGGGTTCTCTCCAGGCAGCAGGGATTTTCTGAGCCCTGTTATGTAGGTACCAAGGGGCAGTGGCTTCTCTCCAGCAGTTCAAAACCTGTCATCTGTAATTCCTCAGCGACTGAACTGAAATTTTCTGGAAACTCAATACTACCCACCACTGCCCATATGATTTCTTACCCATTCTGCTCAAATTGACTGAGCAGTTACTATGTGCCAAGCATGCTGCTTGGCGTTAAGGACAGAAACACAGTAAAGAGAGCTCCATCCCCGGCCCCTGACACAGGGCCTGGGATGTAGTTCTCCGCATGCATGTAATGGTGGGACGGAGTCATCAGGAGCTAGGGCACTGCAGGGAAACATGCAGTGCAGGGGAGATTTCATGAGCCAAAGGAGAGGTGTGCAGACCCCCATTAAGACCTAGGAGAGGGGGCATTGGAGCTGGACTTGAGGGTGCACCAGTGCCAAGTAGGAGTGAGCTGAGTGGGTACCCAGGGGCATACGGGACAGAGACTTGGACCCCAGGCAGAGGGCTGAGGTCTCTAGGCAGACACAGAGCTGTGGAGTGTCACTGCCAGGGCAGAAGAGAGGGGGATGAGGGCATTGGAAGGGATCCAGGGCCTGGCAACTTCCATCCTCCAGGTTCCTGGGGACAGAGCATGCTCAGAGGACCAAGCCCAACAGAGAGACCCTCTGTTACCAGCAAGGCTGGGACCCTAACCAAGGAGGAGCCCTGGGGAGCTGCAGAGCCCAGCTTGACAGGAAGGGGAGGGTAGGAAGCTCCTCCCACGTGTCTAGGGCTGGCCCAGGGGCCTCCTCAGGGACTGCTGCAGCCTAGGGGGGAGAGACAGAGACAGAGACAGAGAAAGAGAGACAGAGAGACATCTGCAAACACTTTGGGGTCTTCAGGCTGTGGTTGATGTGGGTGGGATGGGAGGGAATAGGAGGGGACGACCCAGGGAGAAACCTACAGATGGGGGAAGGGACCCCTGATTTCATTCTGGGGCCCAGAGAACCACAAACACCGAAACTTGCATGTGAAGGTGAGGACAGGGCAGGCTGAAGCAGGCAAAACAAGATTCCATCTCGTTTCTTGCCGGTGGCTCCAGTGCCCAAAATGTGTCTTTCAAAGAATGAATGAACATCGTATCTACTGAGAGATGAAGGGACCTTAGGCTACACCATGTTCAACATGCCGCAGGCGAAGCCCATGCACAGAATCCCAGTTTATCCTCACGGTCCCCCGAGAGGTAGGTAACATCCCTGTTTCCACTTGGCAGATGGGGAAACTGAGGCTGGGGTATAATCTCACCCCTCGCCGGAGGTCACACAATCGGGGGAGCTGGATTTGATTCATTCCCTGAACCAGTTCTGTCAGGGCCTCTAGGGGCCACATGTGACAGGGTGGAGGTGGGGGCCTCTGAGGCTCCAAGTGTATCCCTCACCACCCAAGAGTGCTCAGAAGGCTTTGTCCCAGAAGGGCCGTTAGCACGGTTCCAACAGCCTTTTACAAAGTGCCTCCAAGAATGAAGGATCTCATTGTTTAAACCCAGACCAACATTTTCCAAAAGTGGGTTCCACAGAAATATAACACCTTCCACCCCAAAATGAATAGATAAATAAACCGCACTATCAACAAACACCTTTGGAAAATGCTTCCTACCAAGCTCCCTCTTGGAGAAGTACAGTACAGGTCAGCCTATTAAAGGCTCTGACAAGTCCTGCACTAAGCAAGCTGTTTGATTGAGTAAGCTGTCCTAGAAAGGAGAACTCCTTCACCTGCACCATGGTTAGAAATAAGTGCTCCTCCGATGTTATGGGAAGAAGGGATGCATGTGCATTTACCCCACTGCAGCCTCCCGAATGGGATGCCTGCAGGTAAGTTAATGTGCAGCTAATGGGCCCCTGTTCCTTTCGAGGGGAACAAGCCTTCCTGGCAGGTCCCCCAAAGCTGAGCACTCCCAGCACCCACCTCCAGAGACTTGGCATTTTTTCCATCCACAGATTGACCAGCAGGCTGCCTGGGCTGGTGAGGGCCCATCCTCTGTCTGCAGGGAAACGGGCCAAGTCCATGCATGGCACGGCTCAGCCGCACAGGCCTGCGTGTTTATGGGGCAGGCCGGGGACGGTCATGAGGCCAGCGAGAGCAGCAGGCTGACATGCTTAAAAACATTTCCACATTGAAAAAAGGCCTCGAGTCAGAACTGCTGGCTGGGTAATTCACTTAACAGAAGTGGAGCGGGCAGGCAGGAGGATACCCAGGGAGCAGAGATGTTGAGTTAAAAGGCGCTAATTTTATGCACTGTGGTTACGTTTTCTGACTGTAATTACATTTCAATCCATGTGGCAAACATTTCTGAGATTCCAAACATTTTCCCACCTTCTTCCCAGCGGGCATTTGTGCTGTCAAAAAGCCAGAGCCAGAGGAGAACACATCCAACACCCCACCAACAGCTTACCTTCTTCACCACGCTGAGCTTGTCCGGGGCGTGGTCGAAGAGCGTGTCGAAGGCGTCCCGCTCTGAGGACATGGAGAGAGACACAGAGGAGCAGTTATGGAGGCCCGCGGTGCTGCCCTAATCCTGGGCCCCCCCGGGGACATGCCAGCTTCTGATCCCTGAGGAGGTTCAGCCTGAACTCCCACACCTGCCTAGAATCCTTCCAATTCCTGCCAGAATGAAAGAGCTGACCCCGACGATCAGTCCTGGCCAGACCAAAGTGAGCAAGCGCGCTTCGGCACAACCAGAACAGCGTGGACTAGAGGCTGCAAGGGGTCCCTTCCGCCTGCTCTTTACCTTTTCACATGAAACACGTCGATGGCACCTGGCATCCGCCCCTGCCACGTCCTAGGACTTGAGGCGTCCTGAATTCTCCCTGCTCCCACGCTCCTTGTCTACCAGCAAACAGCACCTGTGAATCCAACCACTTCCCCCGCGGCCGTGGCAGAGCCGCTCACACCTCACTGCTCCTTGCCTGGGAGCAGCTGCAGCCTCCTACTCCACTCCCGGCCCCTGATCCCTTCTTCACAGCAGGCAGAGTAAGCCCTTTCAAGTGCAAACGGAATAATTTGTTCCCCCTCTCCACTCCCTCCACAACGAAAACCCTCCAACCGCTTCTTATCATGCTTAGAATAAAATCCATCCTCTCTCCCATGGGCCATGGGACACTCAGAGAAAATCCATCCTCTCTTTCACGGGCCATGGGACTCTTGGGCTCAGAGTCATCCTCCTACACACACCCTCCGTGACTTCACCCATCGACCAGCCTCCCAGCTGCTCCTGACACTGGGGCGCCCTGCCTCAGAGCCTTTGCACCTGCTGCCATGGAGGGAGCTCCCACAGGGGCATAAGGGACAGAGACTTGGACCCCAGGCAGAGGGCTGAGGTCTCTAGGCAGACATAGAGCTGTGGGGTGTCACTGCCAGGGCAGAAGAGAGGCAGACGAGGGCATCTGGAAGGGATCCAGGGCCCAGCAACTTCCATCTTCCAGGTTCCCGGGGACAGAGCATGCACAGAGGACCAAGCCCAACAGAGAGACCCTCTGTTACCAGCCAGGCTGGGACTCCAACCAAGGGGGAGCCCTGGGGAGCTGCAGAGCCCAGCTTGACAGGAAGGGGAGGGTAGGAAGCTCCTTCCACGTGTCTAGGGCTGGCCCAGGAGCCTCCTCAGGGACCACCCTGGCCTAGGGGAGAGAGAGAGAAAGAGAGAGAGAGACAGAGACAGAGTGAGAGAGACAGAGAAAGCCCAGAAAGAGAAGGAGGAAGGGATTAGGCCCAGGTAAGCCAGAGGCCCAGGGAGAGACGCCAGCCAGGCCTCCTCCCAGAGGAAGCACGCTGGTCCCTTCCTGCCAGGCCGGCTGCCCAGCAGGCAGCTCACAGCCCCCTGCCCAGCCCAGCCCAGGTAGCCTCTTCCTTGGCCTTGTGGAGGTGGTGACAAACAAGGTGGAAAGGAGAGAAGGAAAGTGTACGTGAGCACGTGTGTACACGTGTGTATGTGTGTGCATGTGCACGCGTTGGGGGAGGGGAGGGAAGTTTTCTTCACCTAAAGACTGACACTGACCAAAATGCCCCAGCCTCTGGACACCTGCCAGCCTTCTAATGCAGCAGCTGTAAAGTATTTTTATAATCATCTAAGTCAGAGCACACTCAATAAGACAGTCGGCTAAGGGGCCAAAAAAAAAAAAAGTGAAATCTTTACAAAGCAGCACGCAAACTATAAATGCAGCTTAAGAAAAACCCCAGGAGCAGAAGAGTGCTTGACGTCAGCAGGGTATATTTAGCTGGGCCACTGCTGGGCTGGCAGAGTCAAGCCACCAGGGAGGCATCAGTGCCGCAGAGGCCTCGCTGCAGGCCACCGTGCCCCTGGACCTGGGGGACTGGCGTCACGTCACACAGCCCACACAGCAGGGAGGGACCCCCAGCTCTGAAAACGGGCGCTGGGGGCCAGCCACAGGACCCGGGGCATTTGGAAGGGATCCAGGGCCGCCAAATTCTGTCCTCCAGGTTCCTGGGGGCAGAGCATGCTCAGAAGGCCCAGCCCAGCAGAGAGACCCTCTGTTACCAGCCAGGCTGGGATCCCAACACAAGGAGCAGGCCTGGGGAGCTGCGGAACCCAGCTTGACAGGAAGGGGAGGGTAGGAAGCTCCTCCTGCCTGTCTAGGGCTGGCCCAGGGGCCTCCTCAGGGACTGCCCCAGACTAGCAGGGAGAGAGAGAGACAGAGGGAGAGGGAGAGCGAGCGCATACGCACATACTGTACTGCTGTGACGTGCCTGGCCTTGGGAACAAACTAAATGCAGATCCCAGCTGCCTGACTTCGCACCCCATGACTTTGGGCAAATCCTCCCCTCTCCAACCCCATTTCTTCCTCCGTAAAGGTGGCATTCTGATGGCCCCTGCCTCGCCCTTGGTGTGGAAGGAAGCGGGACAGTGAGCAGAGGCAGGAGTGCAGTGCCTGGCAGGAGCGATGTTGGCCCTCAGTCCTTACAGCTCCCTCTCGTCCTATCCCCCAGAGCCTCCGCAGGCTCTGGAGATGCCACAGAGATAAACAAGGAGCGGCCCTGCTCTTGGGAGAGGCACAGACTCGGGGGAGGGCCTGGAGAGGGAGTCAACTCTGATAGTGCAATCCTGTTAGCGTCAGAAAAGAGGAGTCCAGGCCGGGTCTGCCCAAGTTCAACCTGCAAGAACGCTCAGCTTGGTCCCCGTCATGTTCTGTTTTGGTTTTGATTTTTTGGCTTTTTAAGACAGAGTCTCATTCTGTCGCCAGGCTGGAGTGCAGTGGTGCAATCTTGGTTCCCTGCAACCTCTGCCTCCCAAGTTCAAGCGATTCTCCTGCCTCAGCCTCCTGAGTAGCTGGGATTACAGGCATGCAACACCGCGCCAGGCTAATATTTGTATTTTTAGTAGAGACGGGGTTTTGCCATGTTGGTCAGGCTGGTCTTGAACTCCTGACCTCAAGTGATCCACCCGCCTCAGCCTCCCAAAGCATTGGGATTACAGGCGTGAGCCACGGTGCCCGGCCAGAGTCAACAGCTCTTAAATGGGAAGGTCTGTCCAAAAGTTCTGAACTTCCGGCCTCTCTTGAAGAACTGGAGGCTTTGGCAACAGTAAGCCTGCGCTTGCACCTGGCAGCAGGGAGCAGCCCCAGGGATGGGGGTGTGGGCTCTGCAGTGTGCCCCAGACCCCACCACTCCCCACTGCCACCCAGCGGGGGTGAAGGGGCAGCTGGCGTTATCACTGCACAATCTAGCCACTCTCCCTTTTTATATTACCAGCCTGGTCCCTGGAGGCACCTGAGTCTGAACCAAGGGCTGGTGGACCTGAATAAGGCTTCATGAGGCAGCCCTGGGGTTCAAGCCCGGCTTGCTGGGGCAAGAGGAGGAGGAAAGGTGCTCCACTGAGCTAGCAGCAGGCACAAGGAGAGATGCCAGAAAGCCCAGAGCAGGTTCAAGAGCCAGGTGGTGGGACAGAGGTCGAAGAAGGCTGATCACTAGCAGCTCGGGATTGCAGCTCCCACTGAAAGAGCAGAGAACGAGAGGACGCCACACTTTCAGATCAATTTTTGTTGCTCACGCACCAGGAGATTCCCAGCGGAGGAGCCCCACGTGTCGCCAGCGCGACTCTTGAGGCCGCTGAGGCGGTTTTGCCGCTGCTTTGGTGCGGCGGTTCTTGGTGCAGAGTCAGAAAAGCACCATCAATCTTAAAGCCGCTGTTTTGGCTGGCGTAGTGGGTTGCTCAGATTCTAGCGCCGGGAATCAACAAGTTGGACGTCCATTCAGAAACCCAATTATAAAGACGGTAATCATAAAGACCACAGATGGATACATTTATAACAAAGGGAAGAAACCAGCCTAAAAAGGCTGAGAATACCCAAAATCAGAATGCCTCTCCCTCTGCAGGGGATCACAGTTCCTCATCAGCAACAGAACAAGGCCTGATGGAGAAAGACTGTGTTCCATTAGCAGAAGCAGGCTTTAAAAAGTGGATGATAAGAAACTTCTGGGAATTAAAAGAACTTGTTCTAGCCCAATGCAAAGAAACTAAGAACTTTGAAAAAAGGTTTGACGAAATGTTAAAAATAACACACAATTTAGAGAGGAATATAAGTGAATTAATGGAGCTGAAAAATACAACACGAGAACTTCGCGAACTATGCACAAGTTTTAACAGCCGAATTGATCAAGCAGAAGAAAAGATATCAGAGGTCGAAGACCAACTTCATGAAATAAAACAAAAAGACAAGATTAGAGAAAAAAGGATAAAAAAGAACGAGCAAAGTCTCCAAGAAATATGGGACTATGTGAAAAGACCTAATCTACGCTTGATAGGTGTACCTGAATGTGACGAAGAGAATCAATCCAAGCTGGAAAATACGCTTCAGGATATTATTCAGGAAAACTTTCCCAACCTAGCAAGGCAGGACAATATTCAACTCCAGGAAATACAGAGAACACCACAAAAATATTCCTCAAGAAGACCAACCTCAAGGCACATAATCGCCAGATTCACCAGGGTTGAAATGAAAGAAAATACTGAGGGCAGCCAGAGAGAAAGGTCAGGTTACCCATAAAGGGAAGCCCATCAGACTCACAGCAGATCTCTCAGCAGAAACCCTACAAGACAGAAGAGAGTGGGTGCCAATATTCAATATCCTTAAAGAAACGAACTTTCAACCCAGAATTTTACATCCAGCCAAACTAAGCTTCATAAGCGAAGGAAAAATAAAATCTTTTGTGAACAAGCAAGCACTCAGAGATTTCATCACCACCAGGCCTGCTTTACAAGAGCTTCTGAAAGAACCACTACAAATAGAAAGGAACAACCAGTATCAGCCTTTCTAAAAAATGCCAAAAAATAAAGAACATCAACATAATTAAGAAATTGCATCAACTAATGGGCAAAACAGCCAGCTAACATTAAATGACAGTATCAAACACACATATATTGTTATTAATTCTAAATTTAAATCGACTAAATCCCCCAATCCAAAGACACAGACAAGCAAAAAAAAGCCAAGACCCATTGGTATGCTACATCCAGATCCATCTCACATGTAAGGATACATAAAGACTTAAAACAAAGGGATGGAGAAAAATTTACCAACCAAATGGAGAGCAAAAATAAATAGAAAGCAGGAGTTGCAATTTTTGCTGATAAAATAGACTTCAAAGCAACAAAGATCAAAAGAAGCAAAGAAGGATATTACATAAAGATAAAAGGATCAATGTAACAAGAGGAGCTAAAGATCCTAAACATATATGCACCCAATACAGAAATACCCAGATATATAAGACTTACAAAGAGACTTGGACTCCCACACAATAATAGTGGAAGACGTACAGATCAATGAGACAGAAAGTTAACATCGATATTCAGGACTTGAACTCAGATCCGGAACAAGTAGACTTAATTAACATTCATAGAACTCTCCACTTTAAATACACAAAATATACACTCTTATCAGTACTACATCACATGTATTTACAGGTTTAAATGAAATATTGGTTGGCTGCTTGTTAATTATTTTCTTCCCTCATTTTTTTTCATGTCTCTATTATTAAACACAATTACAGGCATACCCATTTTTAGACTGCATTCTAGCCCGGGCAATAAAGCAACACCCCTGTTCTCTCTCCCTCGTCCTCTTTCTTCCTTTCCTTTATTCTTTTTTTTTTTTCTTTTTTTAAAAACTTTTTTTTTTTTTTTTTTTTTTTTTCCTAAAAAAAAAAAAAAAAAAAAAAAGAGCCGGGTGGCCTGTGAGAGCTGTGAACAGGGCTGTGGCCAGCAGCGTGGGAGTGACGGAGGGCACGGTCAGGAGCCGGGGGGCCGGGGTGGAGCTGGCGCTTCCGGAACAAGCTCTGTTGGCAGAAATGGGAGGGACGTGAAGGGGAATGACTAGGAGTTATAATGAGGGGGAAGAGGGTGGGGAAGGCACACCCCCCTCTTTCCCCTCCAGCCCAGGGCAGGCTCAGGAGGGGGAAGGGCCAGCGGAGAAGGCGCAGCAGCTGGCCCGTTGCCATGGAGACCAGGCTGCAACCTCTTTGGCTCCCCTGAGACTTGTTTCCGTGGAGAGAGGCCTCCTCACCCACCTCGGCCAGGGCAGTGATACCATCAAGAGGCAGCGAGGATCTGTGGAGCCACCTCTCTTGCTGGAATGATGGAGAGTGGGTGGAGCAGAGCCCCCACCCCTCCCTGGCTCAGGGTGCTCGTGGGGAAACTGAGGCCCAGAAGACTGCTTCTGGCAAAGCTCAGCACATGAGCCAAGGAGGGTCTGCCCGGCCTTCTAGAAGCTCCTAGAACATCTGGCACCAGCTGCATGGCAGACTGGCCAGGCTAGCTGCTTTGGTGGGGTGGGGTGAAGGGGCAGCCTGAGGAAGGGTCAGCTCCAGCCCACAGGGCACCTCCTCGGGTCAAGGAGCCATGTGTGAAGGGAGAAAAGCAGGGGCTCTGGGTGCTCCTGAAAGTTTGCTGGCACCAGTGTCTGCCAGGCACGTGCAGGCTTCGTTGTGTAAACACTGGCGCAGGGAAGAAGAGCCAGGCCATGCCCCAGAGCAGAGTGAGGCTTGGTTCATCACATGACTACAGAAATAACTAAGCCGTGGTGCGGGGTGGGGAGGACTGCCAGCGGAAGGCAGTTTAGGGCAGTGGAGTCAGAGAGGGCCTCCCTGATCAGTGACATTTGAACCAAGAGCTGGCGGAGCTGAAGGAGTGAGCCATGGGGTAATCAAGAGGGAGAGCATTCAGGTGGAGGTTGCTGGAGGAGAGAGCGCCCCAGGGTGCTCTTGGGGTCTGGAGGAGGCAAGTGGCGTGGTAGGGAAGCCAAGACAAGGCATGCTGCTGCCCCCACGGGAGCGGGGGCTGGGCCAGAAGCCCTGCTTCACCTGAGGGTGGCAGGCTGGGTAACCAGGAGACTTGGGAGCCTGCGTCAGCGGAAGCAGCAAGCCCGGGGGCAGAACTAATTGCCTGTCACCGACTAATAGGCTGTTTGCATTTTCTGAAGCACAGAGCATAAAGCCTACAGCGTAATGAGAACACTCCATCGGCCTCTTGTGCAAATTGGTCTTGTGATCCCACAGTCCCGATGCCCCTGGAGAGGCAGCTGGGTCCACTTTCCACATGTGACACCTGGCTCTTACCTGGAGAGCCACTGCCCTGCACATCAGACCCTAAAGCTCATTCCTAGGGTGGCAGGGGCTCCGCGGCCAGGCTTCCGGGCCCTCGGGCCACAGGGTGCCACACACAGCCCGAGGCCCGTGTGCCCCCAACTCAATGGTACAGGCTTTTTCCTAAATCTCCAACGAGGCCCGTACCAAACACAGAAGTGACAGCGCCACAGAAAGCCAAAAACATTCGGAAATGCTTGATGCGCCCACTCTCCTCATCTCTAGGCCTCTACAATTCCAAAGGGGTGCTGAGCCTCCTCTGGAAGAAAGGGTGGAGAGAGGGTAACAGAGGGGGGCACTGTGCCCTCAAAGTGTGCCTACACCTAGACGCAGGGTGGGGAGATGCCTCGCTCCGGCCCCATGAGCTGTGGCCCCACGGCGGTTTCGCCTCCCTCAGCAACCACACACAGGTTTCTCTTTCTTGTCCTTTGTTTTTTTATAATAGAGATGTTTTAAAAGAGCTGAAAGTCTCCTTAAAAAAAAAAAAAAAAAGCGAAGGCCTGTGAATGTCCCCAGCACAGCGGAAGGTCTCACAAAGGAAGCCTCTCGGACGTATCCTCACTGCATCTTCTCAATTCAAGCCCCGTGGGATCTGAGCCCCGTCCCCTCACCGTAGGCGTGATGGTTAACACTGTCAACTGGATTGGACTGAGGGATCCAGGGTTTGGTCCCTGGGTGTGTCTGTGAGGGTGTTGCCAAAGGAGACTGACATGAGTCAGTGGCTGGGAGAGGGAGACCAGCCTTGATCTGGGTGGGCACCACCTCATCAGCTGCCAGCGCAGCCAGAATAAAAAGCAGGCCGCAGAGTGTGAACAGACTAGACGGGCCTCGCCTCCCAGGCTTCATCTTCCTCCCATGCTGGATGCTTCTTGAACATCAGACTCTAAGTTCCTCAGCTTTGGGGTTTGGACTGGCTTCCTTGCTCCTCAGCTTATAGACGGCCTACTGTGGGACCTTGTGATGGTACGCACTAATGTCCTTAATAAACTCCCCTTAATATATATATATGTCTGTGCTATCGCTTCTGTCCCTCTAGAGAACCCTAATACAACAGGTAAGCAGCGATGGCATCCTAGCTGGTCCCCATAATCACTTTGAAGTTACAGAGCCCCATGGCCGAGCTGGCCCAGCCCTCAATGTATAGTACTCAGGGGGTGGCACCCCCAGCCGGAGGACCCCCAAAGGGACAGGCATCAGCTCCGGGCTGGCAGGCTGGAGAGGCAGATGGGAAATTTCTATTTGGATTCCATTTTTCCTCTTAAGAACTGTTCTCCCCTCCCTGCTCACTGGAGAACATGGTATTTGGGGGTCAAGGGGTTTCTCTTTTGAAATGCTCCCCAAAGCAGGGAGCCTGGCCAGGCCGAGGGCTGGGGTAGCCTGGCTCTGAGGGTTGAAATGTTGCCATCTCTTGCTGAGATGAAGATGGGGTCTCAGGCTTCAGTTGGGGGGAAGAGAGAGCAATTGGGAACAGCCACTGAAAACCAACACTAAAACCACCACACAGAGGGCTGCCCGCCCCCGCCCCCGCCACGCAGGGCACTCACCTGTGATCTCACCCAATCCTCACAGCAGCCCTGCTCAGGGAGAGCCTTTTACGCTCCCATTTCACAGATGAGGAGCAGAGAGAGGAAAGGGCAGGCCACAGGCCACCAGCCAGGGCTGGGCCCTGGCTGCCTGACTCTGAGGAAGTCTGCTAACCAGGCAGTTTCCAAGAGGAAGTAATGCATGTGGAAGGACATCACAGAGGTGAACCATTCTCTCCCAGCCAGTTAACGATGCGCCATATACCAGCTGCCTCTCCTCCCTCCCCTTTACCCTTGACTGCTCCTGCCCCAGCCCTGGACGGTTCCAGCCAGTGATGTCCCAGGCCCCCCTCCCACTTCCCTGGCTAGCCACCCAGCCTTCCACCCCACCCTTTTTTTTTTTTTTTTTTAAAGACAGAGTCTCGCTCTGTCGCCCAGACTGGAGCACAATGGCGTGGTCTCGGCTCACTACAACCTCCACCTCCTGGGTTCACGCAATTCTGCCGCAGCCTCCCAAGTAGCTGACATTACAGGCGCCTGCCACCACACCTGGCTGATTTTTGTATTTTTTAGTAGATATGGGGTTTCACCATGTTGGTCAGGCTGGTCTTGAACTACTGTCCTCAGGTGATCCAACTACCTCGGCCCCTCAAAGTGCTGGGATTACAGGTGTGAGTCACTGTGCCAGGCCCCACCCGACTCTACCTAGCACTACCCAGCCCCTCTCAGCTCTGAGAAACAAGCCCATTATACCGAAAGGTGGGGGCGGACAGCGTACTTTCTCTAGGATTACAGAACTACAGGGGCAGTGAGACCCACCCAGCTTCCCACTCCCCCCAGATGACCATGTACACTCTCGGGGAGCTTCCTGGGGCAGCCCTAACACACCTCCGTCTCCCCACTTTCCCCGGGGTTACTTACCGAACCGGCCCATCATCATCCTGCAAACAAGAGCACAGAGAAAGGCGTCAGATAGGTCACTCCGAATGCAGTTTCACAAGCAGCACGTGGAGGGTGAGGGACAGGCCACCCAGAAAGCCAGGCCCCTTGCTGCCCACGTGAAGGCCGACTGATAAAGCAGGTCACACTGTGCCATGTTCCAGCCCACTCTAATTATAAACAAGAGGTGCTCATGTGGATTATTCACGTTTGCACAAGATCAGCAGCAAATCACCACCTCTATTTGTGCATTAGCCATGCCGTGAATGCCTTTTGGAGGGGAGGCACTTAAATCAAGACAGTGGTTAGTTAACCTGAAGATTTCAGCAGATGATAGGGCTTCCGGCAGCCATGGAAGGCTCAAAACACAAGCTGGGCCAGGCACGGTGGATCACACCTGTAATCCCAGCATTTGGGAGGCAGAGGCAGATGGATCTTTTGAGGTCAGGAGCTCGAGATCAGCCTGGCCAAAATGGCGAAACCCTATCTCTATTAAAAATGCAAAAATCAGCCAGGTGCAGTGTCAGGTGCCTGTAATCCCAGCTACATGGGAGGCTGAGGCAGGAGAATCACCTGAACCCAGGAGGTGGAGGTCGCAGTGAGCCGAGACTGCCATTGCACTCCAGCCTGGGCAATGAGAGTAAAACTCTGTCTCAAAAACAGACAGACAAAAACCCAAGGCCGGAGACCAGCCTGGCCATTGTGGCGAAACCCCCTCTAAGAAAAGCACAAAGAAATTAGCTGGGTGTATTGGTGTGGACTGTGCTCCCAGCGACTCGGGAGCTGAGGTGGGAGGACCACTTGAGCCTGGGAGGTCGACGCTGCAGTGAGCTGGGATCGCACCGCTGCACTCCAGCCTGTGCAACAGAGCGAGACTCTCTCAAAAAAATGAATAAATAAACACACAAGGTTGCTGGTTACCCAAGTATTATGTTTCCAGGATAAACACAATGTACTCGCAGGACTCATGGAATTAAAGGATTCTGGGGAAGCATGAGGCCGGGCCCTGACCTCAGGCAGTGGGCAGTAAAAGCAGTGAGGGAGATGGGGCTGGTGAGGATCTTCTCAAAGATTCCCAGCGCCTGAGTGCCCAGAGCCTTTCCACGCACTGCCTTCCTGAGAGGCAAGGAAGTCCTTACTTTGTCCCCAGATCCCTCTAGACTCAAGTCCTTCGGCTGCATCTTATTTAACAAGCACTTACTTGAGCACCTGCTATGTGCAGGCTGTGCAGATAACAGAAATTAATATCCCCTGGAGATAAATACTGTGTGGCCCTGCCCTCGGGATGGCCGGGGGTGAGAGACCTCCTAAGCCAATATTTCAGTGTTGGCCACGTGTGTCCAGAGGCTACAGGAACTAACAGGAAGCCAAGCACTCCTGCTTAGCAGCTAGGAGGACTTCCCGGAGGGGGTGACCTCGTAGCTGCCTCTAGAAAGAGAAAGGAGAACACTGAGACTGGATGGGAGGTGGTGATGCTGCCTTAGGAAACTGAACATGGATCTTTGGGCCGCTGATTTTCAGCAGACATCCCATGATTCAGATGCTCCGTCAGACTCTCTGTGGCCACGGGGTGGGGGGGGGGTGGAAAGAGGAACAGGTGACCAGGATGGCATGACGAGCCCTGAGGAGGACCCACCCGGGGCATCAGCCTGGAGAGGGGATGCCCTGGCTTGCAGAGGGACGCTGACTCCAGCTAGAAAACCCCAGCTCCCCTTCTCGCTGCTCAGGGCTACCTGGCATCTGGTTGAGGTGGCTTCCACTGGAATTTCCCCTGCCCTGACTTTGGGGCACTCCCCTCCTCCTGGAAATCCCCTTAGGGCCCTGAGGCACTTCCCACAAGCCCCCTGTGCTGGACTGTACATGTCCTTGGATGCGTCCTTTCTCACCAGCAGGACGGGCTGCCCCGGAGGAGAGGGACTGTGCTCAGCCCACCTCTCCATGTCTCTGTGGACCCAGCAGGGAGCCTGGCATGCAGCAGGTCCTGGGGGCCAGTTACCGCTGGCGAACAGCTGAGGCTATTCTCCCATCCACTTGCTCATTCTCTGTCTCTGGACCATTCTGGTTTTACTTAGGATGACTGTGGGGGCCCCAGCTCCTCCTTGCTGCCCTCACCTGGAAGGGGACTCTTTTCACAGCGTGTCCACCTCCAGCAATGTGCCTAGGCCATTCCTGCACAAGGAGGCAGAATCTGTTTCCCGCACCTTGATCCAGCATGACCTGTGACTCACTTTGACTCACAGAATTGAGGACATGGGTATGGATGTCTGAGACAAGGCCTCAAGGGGCCTGCAGCTGCACTCTCACTCTCAAAGGACCCTGAGGGCACTCTGGGAAGGTGTCCAGCTCCGTGAGGAGGAAAGAGACCCAGGGGAGGCGAACACCAACCGCCAGAGGTAGGGAGAGGCCGAGAAGCCTCCCCAGCCTCCATCCAGCCTTCAGGTGTCTGCATCACACGAGCAACCCCAGGTAAGACTGGCTGAAGAGCCGCCCAGCTGAGCCCAGCCCAGATTGCTGATCCACAGAATTGTGAGCAGCAAATGAAACAGATGTTGTTTTAAGTCACTCAGCTTTGGGGGTGATTTGTTACACAACAATAAACAGTAAGACACCAGCGCAATCCCAGTTCCTCACAAGCAGCCCTTCTCCTACCGCTGAACAGGCAGAGCTGCTGCCAAAGGCCCACTGTGCCGGGCACAGAACCACAGTCTCCTCCTCCCCTCCTCCAGCTCTCCCTGTTCCCTTCCCGGGCCTGGGGCAGACTGCGAGGCCTCTTCACCGGCCTCCGCACAGGCGTCAGCCTGCACTCCACCATCCCGTCATCTTCCCTGACAGCTTGCAAGCCACGAGTGGTTTCCTGTGTCAGCTCCAATTTTTGAAATACCATCCATGAATTCACAACACAGTAATTAATCACTCTGTGAACTTAGCTGATGGATTAGCTGAGACAATCAATTTTTAAATGTTCTGTTTCATCTGAAACAGGTTTAGTCAAGAGGCACAAATGCGGTGAATTCTAAAGACCCTTAACAGGTTATCACAAGGGGTCCTTAAAACCACACACCACAGATATTTATTGTTTGATTTGCTACTTTCAATAGATTCGAAGCCTTTTGGACTTCTGAACACCTGCCCCCTGGCTTTCTCTCAGAGATAAGAGATGGCTTAGCCGTGTCTGTCAAAGGAAAGTTCTGGTTTAAACATGCAGCTCCCACCTCTGACAGGGCTAATGTAGGCAAATAAACGAACGGAGACAATGGGTCTCTCTAACCGTCCTGAACTCTCACTCTGCCTGCCCCAGTTTGAACATTTTTAAAGCTCACCTTTTAAGATAAGGAATGAAAAATTCAAAGGCTGTGGAAGGTAACTCTGCTCTAATGTTCAAAGCTCTGAAGGAAGAGTGCAGAGGGAGAGCTGGGATAGGAAGCAGCATGAGAATCACATGCTAAAGTGAAGGGGCGTGGACCAGGAGCAGCCCCACGTGCGCTGGCGTTCCTGGCTGAAGTGGCAGCCCGGGGTCCAGCTCGCTCAGAGCAGCATGGCCTGGAAGGACAGGGCAGGCGTCCACTTACTCTGTGGTTGTGGTCAGCTCCTCCGAGATGTGGCTGGAATGCAGCAGGCCTTCCCGCTTCTGAAAACCCCGGCATAAACAAACACAAAATCAGGCAGTGGAGAGATGAGAAAGGATGCACCGACGGGGCGATGAAGCTGCGGGGCCGGAGACCCTCTTAGAAGACAGCCACGGTGAAGGAGGGGTGCTGCTGAACATGCATGCCGGGCCTTGGTCAGGGCACAGCAGGGGACCCTGGGCAGGGTGCCTTTCAGTGGCCACAACCTGTCCCCATCCTCCTCCCCACCCTCTGATCTCCCCATGGCCCTGAGAGCTGGCATTTGGGTAGGTCTCAGGAGAAACACCCCAGGTCAGGATTCCCCAAAGGGATCCTCTACACTTTGCAGCCAGGAGAGATGAGGCTCACAATTGGAAGGAACATAAGTAACAGAGAACACCCCCTGCGACCATGTATGCACGGGACTGAAAAGGGTCCCCCAAAGTTCATATACACCATGGACCTCAGCACTTGACCTCATTTGGAAATAAGGGTCTTTGCAGATACCAGCTCAGATGAGGCTGCAATGATTATGGTGAGCCCCACCTTAATCCAGTATGACTCACATCCTTATTAGAAGGAGAAATAGACACAGAAACAGACAGAGGGAGGAGGCCATGTGATGACGGACGCAGAGCCTAGAGAGATGCGGCCGCAAGCCAAGAACACCAAGGACTGATGGGCACCATCAGGAGCTGGAGGAGGCAGGAAGACCCCTCTCCTAGAGGAGGAGGCGTGAGGAAGGACATACTGCTCTGACGATGTCTTGATTTCAGACTTCTGGCCTCCATAATTGCAGGAGAATAAATGCCTGCTATTTTAAGCCACCTGCTTTGTGGCACTTTGTTACCACTGCCCTAGGAAACTGTGCCCTAGGTCACACTTCTCCCAGAGCATGACAGGTATAAAAAAAGCAATGATGCTGGCAAGTGGGGGCATGGCAGTGGTGACAGTAGGGGCGGCAGCCCACCTCTCACGGGAGCTCCAGGTAGAGCTGGGTAGCTGATCCAAGCACCGCTGAACCCCTCAAGGGACCGGGAACTCACTTCCCACTGGGCCAGCCCACCATGGACACCACCAAGATCTGGGCTTCCATCCCTTTCCAGAGCTTGGCCTCCAGCGAACACTCAGGGAAGGTGCTGGTTACGGAACAACTCTGATTCTCAGGAGGGTCTGCCGAGGATGGTCCAGAGAGACTGTATTCACTTAGTCACAGACCAGGCATGCATGAGGCACCCACCCACCAGGTGCTGGGCCCACGTCTAGGGACTGGAGACATAAAGCTGGATGTTTTAAAGGTTTATAGTAAAATTTGATTTTATGGGGGAAAGCACTGGAGCTCAGCAAAGGCAAGTGTTGGAAATAGATGCTTGGTGGCACCAGCCATCTTGCCACGGCAGTACAATGAGCAAAGGAAAACAGACAAATGTATTCCTTACACATTTGGGGTTGTGCTCACTGCCGTGTCTAATCTCTGTCGGTTGGAGCCAGGCCTCACAATCTAAACTAAAACCCGAGAGTGCCCTTCCTGCAGTCCAGAAAGTAAAAACTGCGTGCTGATCCTGTGTCTCAGTGCTCATTTTTCTTTGTGGCACCGAGCATCTATTTCCAACATCTATTTCCAACAGCAGGTGATCAGCCCAAAGCCATGTGGCCAGGCAGCAAATAAGGCCCTTCCCTTCCTTCCTTCCCGCCCAGGAAATGCGACATCCCTTGCATCACCCTGTCTTGAGTTGATAAGGGGACCCCTGAGGAAGCTCAGAGGAGGCTGCAGGGAAGACAGAAGGCAGCTCTAGGGTCTGGGGAGTCATGGCCCAGTTCACAGGACCCCCGGCTTCTTGTTTTATTCCACTGTGATGGTCCAAACAACACTCCTCTAACCCCAGTTATGGCAGGAAGCACCACAAGTGCTTTCCTGGTTCAAACTTGCTGCAAACCCCAATGATTATCTTGGCCCCAAGTGCAAGGCTGAAAGGAAATACTGGGGTTTTGGAGGCTGCACAGGGCTCCTGGGGCCCCGGGCTGACGTAGGTAAGGTTGGGAACCACATCCCCGTGTACCCTAGGGAAGCCTTTCCAGGACGGCTGCCTGTGAACCCGTGGCCAAGATAAGGGGAATAGGAATGGACCCCGAGGTCCTAAGTCACCACCACCAACCGCAAACATCCACCTTAGGAAGGAAAATTACAGCAACATGAGATGGCCCTCGCCTGATGCCAGAGACGGGCATTCCCGTCAGGTCAAGACCAAGCTCCCAGGGTGACAGAGGGGTCAGAATGGGTTCGGAAAACACGGCCACAGCCAGGTCCTCCCGGACCACAGAGACCACGGGACTGAGAAGTTTAAAAGCCAGAGGAAAGTGGAGCCAGATGTCTCGAGTCAAATAAACACGGAGGCGTCCAAGTTTCCAGCGTGACCTCAACTCTGGCAGCAGTGGACGTCCCCGCAGACCCCAAGCGTGTTTCTCCTTTCCTGCCTCGGCAGCCTATGCTGAGTGCTTGGAGGATGGCAGACGCGCAGTGCACATTTACTAGGGAAACTACGCACATGAACCCTATGCAGCGACTGTCCACTTAAGTGTGCGGGAAACAAGGCCAGGCACGGCAGCTCCTGCCCATCATAACAGCACTTTGGGAGGCCGAGATGGGAGGATCGCTTGAGCCCAGGAGTTTGAGACCAGCCTGGGCAACATAGCGAGACCCTATCTCTACAAAAATTTAAAATTAGCCGGGTGTGGTGGCCTGTGCCTGTAGTCCTAGCTACTTGGGAGGCTGAGGTGGGAGGATCACTTGAGCCCAAGAGGTTGAGGCTGCAGTCACCTGTGACTGCACCATGGTACTCCATCCTGGGTGACACAGTGGAACCCTGTCTCAAAAGTAAAATAAAAAATAGCCGGGCACGGTAGCTCACACCTGTAACCCCAGTACTTTGGGAGGCTGAGGCGGGCGAATCACGAGCTTAGGAGTTCAAAACCAGCCTGACCAACATGGTGAAACCCCATCTCTACTGAAAATACAAAAATTAGCTGGGCGTGATGGTGGATGCCTGTAATCTCAGCTACTCAGGAGGCTGAGGCAGGAGAATCCGTTGAACCTGGGAGGCGGAGGTTGCAGTGAGCCGAGACTGTGCCACTGCACTCCAGCCTGGGCTACAGAGCAAGGCTCTGTCTCAAAAATAAATAAATAAATAAATAAATAAATAAAAACATAAACATAAAAGAAACAGCAAGAGAAAGGTGACTCTACCTCACCCTCTGTTAGAAGGACCTGGGTCCTGGTTCCATTTCTCCAAACGAATCAAGAGAAATGAACCCAAAAAAAGAGATAATGGGGCATGATGAACAATCCCCAGCAAATGCAAAGCGGCTTTAATCTGGGTGTCTGTTTCATCCCACAGGGCCAACCTCCTCCAATGAGTAATAAGCACATTCAAGGGGATTGAATTCCAACCAGTTGCCTTTGGAGAGAAATGAATGTTCTTTTCAAAACTGTGGAAAATTAAACCTCAACACCCTCATGCCTCTGCCTCTCATCAAATCAATGCCATTGTTCCCATCCTAATCATTTATCTCGGAGCCAGGGTGAGACACACATGTTGTCAAAAGGGAAAAACAGAAGGTAGCCTCTTGCGGGGAGGGGGAAAACAGCGGGGAGGGCAGGAAAGCCACAGGAGGAAGAAGACTTTGCCTCTCCGGCGGCATTACAGACAGGCTGATCTCTCGGTTATACTCACCCGAACCACCACCACCTGCACGGTCACATGCTCAGGAAGGCGGATGGGGGCCCTGAAGTGCATGGCCAGGGAAACTAGCAGGTGGAGGATGGCCACCAGGTTCTTCCCGTGAATCGCTGTGGGAGGGAGGAGGAAGGGAGATGCTTTAGATTGGGTCAGACAGGAACCTGAACCCACATACAGAAGCCAACAGAGACACGCAGCATCGAAATGAGACCCCAGCGAGGCAAGGACGGACCGAAACGTGGACGAATGAAGACGGCCGATGTGTAACCTGGGTGAATCCATTTCTAGTTTCAATGCCTCCTTTCCTCTTGGCCTGAGGCGACCTGTGCAACCACTTTTAGAAGCACAATTTTGTTCTTAAAAGCCATAAATTGGGCAGGGATGAGGAGAAGGAAGGAACAGCGTAGTAAAATTAGCACAAAAGGGAAAAGATCATGGGAAGCAGGTCACGGCCATGTACCCCTTCACAAGGATGCATGTTACTTTCTCTGGTGCTACAAAAGGGCTCACTCTATGCGATGAACCCTCCCAACTAGGGTAGGCTGCCAAGGGCAGACATGGCTCTGGGGACATTAGACATCAGCCCCGCCATGCCTGATTCCCTCCTCCCTCTTCCTCAGCACGCGGACTCAGGTTTGCTCATCATCACCACTTCTCCTGTGAGGGCTTCAGAGCTTACAAGGCACCCGATTCCCCACCCACAGGCCCAGCAACCCACGAGGCAGCCTGGGTCTGCCCAAAGTCTCGATGCCGAGAAACCAGGTGCAGGGCCAGGCTCCAGGGCCTCCTGCCCACTGCTGAGGGCCCATCTCAGCGAAGCACAGAGACCTCTGGCCCAGCACAGAGAGTCCTGAAGCCACACCCTGAGGGCCCTGCTTCAAGGGGAAGGAGGTGGGGAAGGAGTGGGCAAGACCGAGGAGAACTTTCCACCTTCTTCTGGCTTAGTCTTTCACCTTCCGGGTTCATGTCTTCTCTGGGGAATACCGTGATCTCACCCCTCCTAATGCCAGCCCACTCTGGGACACATTCCAGAGGGTCACAGGCAAACAGCCCACTGGGTGACGCTGCCAGTGGCATTTGGAGTTGAGTCCCATCAAGAACCCCTCAAGGCTGCTTCTCTCTCTCAAAGTCCCTCTGATCCACCTAGCCAGAAACAATGCCTCTCTCCTCTGCAGCCTGGGGAGGATGGAGAGTTTCGGCCTGACCAGGTCCCTTTCCTCGGAGCTCCCTAACCCTACTCCCGTTCCCTCCCCTGCAATGCTACCTCTCACAGAGCAGGGAGATGAACCCAGTTTTAAGATGCAAGGCCAGATGGGATGATGATGACGAATGTGGATGACAAATGTGGATGACGAATGTCGAAAGGACGGGCTCCCTGCAGATGCTCCCACCCCCCACCCCACCCCCGCCCCGTGGCATGGAACTCACAGTCCACACTCCACCGGAGCGCCCAGCCACGGGGTCGCAGCAGGTCATGTACTGCTTCCAGCACCGTCTGCAGCTTCTGTTTCTGCCCTATTTCTGACTGTGTCACCTCAGCCACATTCAGCTTGCATCCTGCCAGTTTTTCTGCAATGAGAAAGACAAGAGGAGAGGGTCAGAAAGTGCTGGGAGGGCCAGGTGTGGTGGCTCACACCTGTAATCCCAGCACTTTGGGAGGCTGAGATGGGTGGATCACCTGAAGCCAGAAGTTCAAGACCAGCCTGACCAATATGGTAAAACCCCATCTCTACTAAAAAAAAAACAAAAATTAGCTGGGTGTGCTGGTGCGCACCTGTGGCAGGAGAATCAGTTGAATCCACAAGGCGGAGGTTGCAGTGAGCCGAAATTGTGCCACTACACTCCAGCCTAGGCAATAGAGTGAGACCTTGTCAAGAAAGAAGGAAGGAAGGAAGGAAGGAAGGAAAGAAGGAAGGAAGGGAGGAAGGGAGGGAGAAAGGGAGGAAGGAAGGAAGGGAGGGAGGGAGGGAGGGAGGGAAGGACGGAGGGAGGGAAGAAGCGGGGGAGGGAGGCAGGGGGAAGGGAAGAATCTAGCTGGCGGAACTCAGAACCACCAGGACCCTGGCTGCAAGGAGGTCCCCGAAGCAGGGCCGGTTACCATGTGGCCATGGAGGCATCTTGAGATGTTGAGCCATGGAACTCTGAGCTTTCAGGTCACTCATCTTTCTTAGAGAATGACTCCAGATTGGAAAGGGAAGAAGAGTTAAGGATAAAACTGTGGGTGTTATACTCGGGAACATTCCATGCATATAAAATGGGAAAAACGTAATTTGAGATGCAGTTGAGAGGCAAGGGGGTTACCCGGGAAGACCTAGAGTGGGGGTCAGCAGGTGAGAAGGAGACTGTCCCAGTGGGTCCCGGAAGGGAGAGGACGGATAGAGATAATAGCAATAATAGAAACGGTCTTAGAGGCTGCCTCTGCCTCCCCACACACCTGAGGCTCCAATTCCTGTTTCTCTAACATTCTGACACCACAATAGGAAGTTAGATTAGATATTCACAGAGCAGGCGACGACTTTATTACCAAGAATGGGCAGGAAGCAATCTGGAGGAGCGCGGACAAGAACTGTCACATTTCGTCTAGATTCAATTACTGAGACTGAGCTCCAGCCAGGCCCGCACCTCCTTCAATTTCCCTTTTGATAGCAGTAGGTGCTGGCAGGGGTGCTGGCCACCAGCGCCCCACCCCACGCCTGCTGCAGGGCCACACGGCAGGAAGGACCCCCAGCTTCCCTGCTAGTCTTCGATTCTAAGACTCCTGTCTTTACTGATAGATCCCCTCTGCAAAACGACAAAAGCAACATCACAGAGCATCATGAGATGGTTTTCTGGGAGGGTGACGGCAAGCTCTCAGCATGGAGCCTTCCATACACAGCTGCTGTCAGTGACGCCAGCACTGACGGGCGATCATGACAGCAATCAAGTCCAGGCTGGTCACAAATGGGGTTTCTGTTTTGCAAGTGATTCCCAGGGCAAGGTTCCGTTTAAATCATTTTAGCTGGAGGCCCCCAAGTCTTCAGCATGATCTCCCCAACAGCCTCCCTTTTCTCAATTGGAAAACAAACAGCTTTGGTAACCCTTTCAGGACAATACAATTCTACAGCAAGGTTTGCTGGGCTCAGAACACACCTTCAATCATTCATTTGCTGACTCACAGAGAGGGACTGGGCACCACTGTGTGACAGGCACTGTCCTAGGTGCTGGAAACGGCAGATAACAGAGGTCCCTAGTGGAGAGAGACACCCGTAAATAACATCAGATTGGGTGGCAGTGACTGTAAGAGAGGGAAAAAAGCAGCCCGACAAAGCGCATCCTGCAGGGGAGTGAAAACGATCCCCGCTTATTCATCTGATTTCCCTCCATCTGGATCTAACAGCTCCTCGCTGAGTCATCCACAGCTGTCTGTCTGAATTCGCACCCTGGAAGTGGAAAGCAAGTAGGTCCCACAGGTGTTCAACTACCCAACAGGGCAGGGCAGGGCAGCCTGGAGAAGGAAGGAGAGAGAGAGGATGGCACAGAGCTGGGTGGTCGCAGAGCCTCATACACCAGGGAGATGGGGGGCCTGACGTGCTCCCGTTGCAGCTGCCACCATGCAGCCCTGCAGACAGAACACAGCCACGTCACCCAGGGTGGAGGAAGAGGAGTCGGCAGAGGAGTGGAGGACAATGGATTGGGTTGCCTGGGCTGTTGTAACGAAGCGCGTGGCTTCGACAACAGAGATGTATGTCCCAGCTCTGGAGGCCAGAAGTCCACGACCAAGACACCAGCAGGGCGGACCCTTCTGAGGCCCCTCTCCTGGCTTGTAGATGGCTGCCCTCTCCTTCCTGTGTCCTCACTCGGTCTCCCTCTGTGCATGTCTGTGTCCTGATCTCTTTTTATAGGAACCTAGACATATTGGATTAGGGCCCACTCATATGGCCTCATTTTACCTTCATTACCTCTTTTTTTTTTTTTTTTCAGATGGAATTTCACTCTAGTCGCCCAGGAGTGATGCCATCTGGAGTGCAATGGAACCATCTCAGCTCATTGCAACGTCCGCTTCCCAGGTTCAAGCGATTCTCCTGTCTCAGCCTCCCCAGTAGCTGTGATTACAGGCGTCTGCCACCATGCCTGGGTAATTTTTGTATTTTTAGTAGAGTCTGGATTTTGCCTTGTTGGTCAGGCTGGTCTCAAACTCCTGACCTCAAGTGATCCACCCACCTCGGCCTCCCAAAGTGCTGGGATTACAGGCATGGGCCACTGCACCCAGCCTATTACCTCCTTAAACAGTCACATTCTGAGGTTCAACCTGCAGGGCTGGCTGGTAGCAGGGCCAGTGGGGGCCAGCCAGGCTGCCCGTCTCTCCTAGGGGGTGAGGCTCTCATACCTTGCAATGCGCCTGTATTTCTTTTCTTTTCTTTTTTTTTTTGAGACAGCATTTCTACTTTTGCCACTCAGACTGGAGTGCAGTGGCATGATCTCAGCTCACGGCAACCTTCCGGGTTCACATGATTCTCCTGCTTCAACCTCCCAAGTAGCTGGGATTACGGTGCCTGCCACCATGCCTGACTAATTTTTTGTATTTTTAGTAGAGACAGGGTTTCACCATGTTGACCAGTCTGGTCTCGAACTCCTGACCTCAGGTGATCCACCTGCCTCGGCCTCCCAAAGTGTTGGGATTACAGGCGTGAGCCACCATACCCGGCCTATGTACCTGTATTTAAAGAGGCAATTAAGGTAAAATGAGGTCCCATGGGTGGGCCCCACATGTAGAATTCAGATAGTAACAGAGCATCAAAATGTCTTGCCTGGTTCAACATATGAATTTGGTGGTGGAAACAGCCCGCAACAGAGACCAGAGAGACGGGCCATGCCCGCGTGCTGCCATAGGCTGGGTCTTGGGTGACTCCTGCACAGCAGAGAATATGGTACATGGCCACCTGCATCACCAGACATCACTGTGACCACTGACAGGGGCTGAAGGAGCCGCTCAGGGCTCTGTCATGGCCAGGACCCCTATCTTCCCTGCACAAAAAGAGACACAGAAAGCTGAGAAGGATTCTCCCATGTAGCAGGTGACCCTGGGTGATGGCCACATGTGGGTCTGGGTACACATGTGAGGAAGGACCTGACCTTCGTAAGGAGAGGGCATACCCATGAGTGAGCAGCAGGAGAGCGACAGCCAGAGGAGTTCCCCCAGGGTGAGCACCTCACTCTGGCCACATGCAGTCTACTTTGAGAGCTGCACTGCAAACACAGGGGAGCTACACCCCTAGAAACCTGGTATGTGGCAGAGAACTTGGCAGCTGCTTCCAGAATCTACTTTCAAGAAGAGGGGCTCGGCTGGGTGCAGTGGCTCATGCCTGTGATCCCCGCACTTTGGGGAGGCCAAAGTGGGAGGATCGTTTGAGCCCAGGAGTTCAAGACTAGCCTGGGCAACACGGCAAAACCCTAACTCTACAAAAGAAAAAAAAAAAAAAAGCAAAAATTATCTGTGTGTGGTGGTATGCATCTGTGGTCCCGGCTACCCAGGGAGGCTGAGGTAGGAAGATTATCCAAACCAAAGAGGTCGAGGCTGTAGTGAGCTGTGATCACACCACTGCACTACAGCCTGGGCAATAGAGTGAGACCTATCTCAAGAGCAGAAAATGAAAAAGGACTCCTCTGGAGAGGAGTACAAGTCGGGAGTTCGAGACCAGCCTGACCAATATGGCAAAACCCTGTCTCTAGTAAAATTATAAAACTTAGCCAGGCATGGTGGTACTCCTAGGCAATTTTCACATGGCCAAACCAGGGATCTGTTCCCACTCTCTTCCTCTCACTCCCTCCCACCTCCTAGGAACACCTCGTCTACCCCTCCCAAATGCAACATTCCTCTGGCTCCCTCCCATCACGACTGACCCCCATCAGACTCCTTTGCCGGAACTTCCTCTTCCTGACCATGAACGGCTGACAGCCCAGGCCCAGTCCTCAGACCTCTTCTCTACCACAGATGCACAAAAGTTAGCTTCCGCCTTGGTTTTCAGCCCAAATCTCCTGTTTGGTTTGGGCTTCTGCCTTTGGAAAGCCAAAGAGCTGAATGCCTACACCATGGTCATTCCTGGCATCCCGGGGCTCGAGGATCGGTGACCACATCAGTCCTATCACGTCAATAGTATATCACATGAGTAGCATATTACGTATTTTCAGTCGAACAGTGTTCACAAAACCAGCCAAGACATTTTGATGTTCTGTTACTATCTGAATATTCTCATCCACTGTTCTTTTTTTCAGTTAAAAAAAAAAAAGTGGTATTAATATGTCAAACCACTTGATACTCAAGAGATTTTAGAACTGCCTTCTCAAGTGCTTATGCAATTATTCAAACAAGATGGGACAGCAGCTATTCCACAAGAAAAAGGCTGCTTGATCCAAAGGAAGCCTCATGTTATACTTTATGGATAACACAGCTCATGGACAATCACAGCAACTCCGGAGTAGGCGCTGCATTTGCCAGGGCTAACCGAAGAGGGAACCAAAAGGATGTACCTGGAGAGGGGAGGATGCCGGCTTTAAAGATGCCCTTGCAATTCTACTCCACAGAAGGCACT